TTGAAGTCAGATTCAGATGAAAGCTCGTTTCCTCATCTTTCGTTTCCTATTTATTTTATAATAAACTTTTGAAGATATATCTATCCAGAATGATCACCAGCTAAATACACCTGTGAAGCCCACTGCCATTTTTAACATGAATGCGTGCCCGCACTGTGTTTTGGTAAAGTGCGCTCCATACAAGAGTTAATGGGCGTACATAAAAGAATAAAATTGGTTTTAGCATTAAATAAATGATATGCTACATGAAGTTAGTGATATTTAATTATATTTTATTTTAGATCATTTCAATTGGACCTCGTAACACCTATTTAATTCAGTGGATTTTTTCCATAAGTTGGTTACAGCTTACACCCTGACTTTTCAATACGTGATACCCCAAAGCTGACAATCAAAATCCCTAAGAACAATTAATTCATTTAAAATAAAATAATTTTCTTGTTTTGCCATCTCCCTCCCCAAAAAGAATGGTCCGCAACCCCCATGATTTATTCACTTAAAAGTTGTTCGCATGCATCACTTTGAAAAGACACGATTTTTGCTCACTCCTTTATCCTTCGTGTCGATACGTGGTGCAGTCTCCTCATTGCTGAACTCAAAGCACGTTCATTTCATATCGACATTGCTCACGTGTTACAATTGCCTGCTTGCCGGGCATGAGGCATGGGGCCGTCTTGGAGACGGTAATGTCTCCTCGTTGTCCTGCCTCTTTGGTATTGTGAAGGGGGAAATTAGGGGTGTGGGAGGATGTGAATCGAAGAGGAATGAGCCGAGAGGGAAGCAGACGGAAGGGAGAGGGTGGCCGTCTCTGGGCAGGATATTATCGATCAGAATTCCAGTAACATTCCTGCGCAACGGAAACAGCGTCAATATATCAACGTCAGAACTAATGCTGGAATCTTCAAGCCAGCTGCATCATGTGCGATTTCACCGTAACAAAAACACTTGTGTGTAACACCGAACCTGACCCGTCTCGAGTGCGATCACGTCAATTTTGTCATAAAAGCTAATAAAAGAAATCGGAGAAATCAGTTTCTGATGAACTGTCGCCTGTGGAATCAGTGCTCGATCAAAAAGAGGGCTTATGGAATCGGTATACTTAATTAAAAAAGCAAGTGTTCAGAGGGCTATTTTAGTTCATTTTCGCACCCACACAAATTACGGGAGGGTATGTCTCTCGGTGTTCAATCCGTGTATCATAAGTATTCACACCTTTTGCTGAACAGCCTAGTTTCGTTGTTAGAAAATACTGACATGATCTTGCAAATGTTTATTTGTGTATAGTGACTTCACATCATGTCTTACTGCTGTCAGGGTCTGCTTTGATATCCAATCAATCTTCTTATTTATTTTTGACAATGATCGATACATGAATCAAAACAATTCAAAGTATTTAAACAAAATAAACATTGTGATAGAAAGTATTTTTGTGTTTGTAGCTTTATGTCTGGATGATCAGTCTCACTTAATATTGACACACTGAACCCATCTGTCTTTGTTTCCAAAGTCATACAACGAAAAAAAACAACGTATCGAGAGACGCAGTCACATCGGAGCTGTCGTGTTCGCTTTCGTCTGCAGGAAATCTCTATGGATATCCTAACAACAATAACGGAACTTGACAAGAGGCCCAGGAGATATTTGACATTATTTTGTTAGGAAAGCGGCTTCGCTTCATGATAACAAATTAAGACAATTCTTCAGGTGAAACGGCAGATTTGTCACTCTGTTTGACAACCTGCCTCCGAGCACATCCTCCTAGAAAGTGTATCCGTGAGACAAATTGCCGGTCGTGCTCTGGTGTGTGTTTTTTTCGCGGCCGTAGCCAAGACACCTTGCAGTCGCAGTGGTCAGATCGTCCCTGAGTCTCTCGCTCCGTTTAGAAGGGATACACTTCGAGAAAGAAAAAATAAAGGGAGCTGGCTCATTGCTCAGCAGAAACCGAAGTGTTTGTTGTGTCAACATCTGTAATTGCATCGCCCCGGCCACAGTTCACCTGTTTCTACACGGAGGATCGGAGCACACTCAGACGTCCCATAGACATGGAGACACACACAAATCCGGCAGATAAAAAAAAGTAGTGTGATGGTTTCACTCAATGTCCCGTTCAGAAGCAAATATTACCGTACATGCATTTAAAACCAGGCAAAACATTACTTTGGAGCGATCTCTTCCCAGTAATGACATCTTTCTGTGTTTGATGTTACATTTCATCTGGCGTCATTCTAATGGGAAGATCCCATGTCTAGCCTGTGTTGAGGCACTTTTGTTTCGTGAGTCAACAACATGAAGGATTTTGTCCACAGAAATTCTTCCAAATCATTACATAAGAACCACGTACGAAAACATCAGACTGAAATTAATCATACTTCTATTTCAGCTCGGGACGTTTTGCGATTGATGTTAGGAAAACAGATATTTGCCAAAACTTACTTCTATTTGAAGATGGTGATGGTAACTATGACTCCAGGTCAATTAATGTGTTTATTGTTAAGAAAACAAAAGATTCTTGCCCATAAAATCAGCATCTCACTCTGTGATCTTTGTAGATCGTGCCAGCACACTATTACAGAGGTTTCTGAAGTTTAGTTACGCTTTTACAAAGATCCCCCAAAATTTCATTTCAGTTACCAAATTGTGAATAAGATCGCAGACCATTAACTAAACTGCCACACACAACAACGGTAAAATAATTCCCTCACGTATAAAAAAAGGAAATTACTCCCATTTCCGAAATGTGCATATATACATCATCCCATTCCCATTTCATTCAACGCTTGAGGGGTAAATAGGTAGCGTTTGGGGAAATTTCCGTCCAAAGATGACCATCCCAATAATAGTTACCGTACAGTAGTTCTGAAGCGTGTCACTATTTGGAAAAAAATGCCTTCATTCTATATTGAACAATTTTCCAGGCCCAGTAATGTCGGCAAAAATTCACAGAAATACAAGCTCGCAAACCCTCAGCCGTTCTTTGGGATTACAAACCCTGATGTTCATATCATGGGTCGCAGAATGCTATATCCACCTCGAGCAGAAGCATCCCCTCATTAACTGAAAAGAGCCGCGTTGGTCGGAAGTATTCATTTTGTTGGTAACGATGCGACTACAACGCTTCCGTTTCCTAGTCGTTCATGAACCAGCGATGCTCAATTATTCCCAAAGGAGCCTCCATTGCAAAGGAAATAGCGTCCTCTCTTGGTCCAGCTCAAGTCCCGTAAGCAGAGAATCTTGGTTTCGTTGGCATAGTTTCGGACATAATTTGCGACCAGAACGTAGCACAATGGCAAGCAGTGCAGTATAGGCTGTTGTGAAGACTGGCCAGCTCACTTTCCCTTCGTATCGAGTATCTCCAATGAAAGCGGGTCGCTGTTAACTCCCACCATGACAACAGAAACGTTCCGACCATCAGGATCACGAGTCGGCACGGGCGTAAATCCCAGGGTGAGGGCACAGAATTAAAAGCAGATTGTTAAGAATTTCTCAGACTGCCTACAACTAAAATGAGTTTAGTATCACTCAGAAAGGGAGAGCAATTTTTCAAAAACCATAACTATACCATTCTGATGTAAGATCCTGGATGAATGCATTACATTATTACAGATATACTGTACATCTATATCTTGAACATCGCCCCCTTTTAGTGTCATAAGGTGTACCCCCCCTTTCAAATTTCCATGGCCGGGGCAAGTCATCCCCCACAAATCCCCACCCCCCAATTTCCAGCACAAATTTACGCCGATAGGTCAACAGTTAGCTCCGACGTCAATCTTATTTCACGAGACCGCATTTCAAAATCCCACCCACGGTTTCATACATGACAGTAGACCGCCTCACCAGAACGTGACTTTACAAGAAAAAAAAACGGCTTCTTGTTCACTGATGGGATATAACTTGGCTGCTGGCCGGTGCAGCTGGAAAATCTGATTCGCTAGATTTATTCAAAAGTCTGTATTGATGAAGAGTGGGCGGAATGTTGATGCGATAGTAGGTTTACGGTAGCGATTTAATCTTATTAACTCCAATTTTAACTTTGGAGTTGATTGATGGGCTTAATTCCTTTAGCAGAAATGACGGGCAGTTTAAGTGAAACGTATTGACGTTTCAGGCTATTTACAAATCGCTGTTTGTTTGCTTAGCGTGCCACAAACCAAAAAGTCCACCATGCTGGGCACGTACGGATTCTTCGATTTTGCGGAGTCAGGATTCACCAATACATCATGAGGAATTTGGCATGAAATACCCACTTCATGAAAAAACAATAAATGGACGAAATGTGGATAGTTTATGAGAATTCAATTTAGAAAATAAAACGTTTATCACGTCTTATCAGGCAGTAGATCAGAATTCTAACAGACCCAGGAGAAGTTACAGACAACAAGAGGCCAGCCCCCCCCCCAAATGTGATTACAGGGCTTGAATAGTGTATCATGGCATTATGAGTCTGGCCCCTTCCTATCTGACAGAAATGGCTTCACATCATTCATGTAGTTGTAACTTTCCTTGAGGGGGGCCAAACGTGAGCTGGGAACAAAATCAAATGGGGAAGCCCCCCCCCCCTCCTTGATCTGTCGCTAGACGGACTCCCTAATCATATAAATCTGAAAACTTTATGGAACCGATTTAATTTTCCTTTCAACACTATTTCGCTGTCATATTTTTTGTTCCTTATTACGTCGACGTCAAACCTTCATTCAGATTTATGAGTCCTCTGTCTTTTCTCGCTTCTTTCGCGACGTCAGTGTTCGAATTTGTTTTTCTCTTTGACCCAAAGCCTTTGCAGGGAAAGGACATGCAGTTATCAAGATCGTTTAGACCTAGGAATATGCACTGCACGCAGGGCGGTGACGGTTTCAGACATGCAAAATTTTATCCGTCGCTCTACGTTCTCGCTCAGCACCACGAAATTCCTCGTGCAGGTTGTCACTCCCCGGATGGGACCTCGTGCGGAGACCAAAGCCGTTGGTTGGTCTGAGTCAGACATGTGACCGCTAGCGCTCGCTGCGATGATGAGATTACGCGCTGATGACAATAGAGAAGCACATCACTGCTGTTGCCAGTCTAATGTCTCTTCCAACTTCACTTCAGTAGAGTGTTACATGCCACCCGCACAGCAGAGGCGTGTGGGACCATATTGCAAATCACTTGCGTGTGTTCACCTCATCCTATGACGTCGACGGCTGTCGGTGGTAGGCCTACCATAATCGGTGCTCGATATTTTCAGCCCCTGGTTTAGTTTGCGTGTAGGCTTCATTCTGCGAGCGCATCGTTGGAATCAGTTTACTTGTAAAGCGTGCTTTGGGAGTGAGGAAATGACTCCATCAGCAGCACAAAACTGAAAAATAGGCAGTTGATTTATTTCTAGGTAACTGAGCAGATTATGGAAGAGATCGAACAGTACCGGAACCCAAGTTCTACCTAAACTTAGCGATTTGTCTGCGACGATCACGAGCAGAGTCGATTTTATCAAAAGACGAGATGCAATGCGGAGAGTTAGCGCCTTAAGGCTCCAGGGTAGGGCGAAATGAAGTCGCACAGGGAGAATAACTGAGAGGATGTTTGTCTCAAGTTAGATTCGACAAAGCTGTGCATGGACATCTCAGTATGTGTACTACATCCACTTCAACCCTTCATCGCTCAACGCTGCCATTGGCGTCACTCTAGCTCTGCTGGGTATGGGAGCTGCACTGTCCTAAGTGATCGGTTGACGCGGTGGTCTCCGTTTCGATTATAAGCCGGAGTCTGGATGGGGATTCTTTTTTGAAACGATTTTGACAGACTGCTGCAGATGTAGATGACCATTCTACATTGCGTAGCAGTTCACTGGCATAACTCTCGAGGTCTCCTGATTCTTCACAATTGCCCTGTCCTTTGTCATAACAACAGTTCGGACGGAATTAAGGTGGCACAATCTTGCCCAATAGCCGTGATTGCAATCTGGAACCGTCAAACGTTCGTTAGCGTTAGCGGCGAGCTTCAATGATGCAAGACGTATTTCCTTTGACGGGTTTGCGATAAGCATTTCTTCACATGGTTCAAAATCAAGGTAAATTAAACGCTGGTCTCAAGTTGAGTATTCTAATCATCCGGAGAGACACAATTTTATTTCAACCTCGGGGTTCTGTCATATGTTCCTTTCTCCATCACTTTTTCTTGTCTTTCATTAAGCTCAGAAATTGGCGCAGATGGCTCATCGCACTTTTTAAACATACTGAACCTGTGGACGCAAACGGGGAAGAATGTCTACTGCAAGTGATGAGACGATGAGTCTCGTGGGAATCGTCAACATCTCCACCGGAGATGGACGGAATGACGAAAACGGATCCTTGGGGACCGGACCAGGGGATGGAGAGAATGAAGACCCGGTCAGCACTGTCAAGGTCATCATTACGGTTCTGTTCACGCTGGTGTTTATGGTAGGCGTGCTGGGTAATGTCTTCGTCATTGTGGCCGCCACGGGCCGACTCCGGGGCCTCCAGAAGTCAATGAGGGTCTTCATCCTAAACCTCAGCGTGGCCGACCTGCTGTACCTGCTCATCTGCCTCCCATTCCAGGCTACCATTATCACCCTACCGTCTTGGATCTTCGGCGGCTTCATGTGCAAGATGGTGCAGTTCCTGACCTACGTCTCTATGTGCGCCAGCATCTTCACCCTGGTGGCCATGTCTATGGATCGCTACTTCGCTGTGGCCTATCCGCTCAAGTTCTTCGGCCTGCGCACCTTGCGCAACTCCATCTTCATCATCGTCTCCATCTGGGTTATAGCTTTGGGTTGTTCGGCACCGTTCCTCCGTGTGTTCCTGATACTCAAGGCCGAGGACGAATCTGGGCTTCTCGTGTCTTACTGTGTCGAGGGTGGTTGGGACAACCGTACGCAGCGGAAGCGCTACTACGCCTTCCTCTTCGCTGCCTGCTACATGGTACCCCTGCTACTGATGGTCCTGTCATACGTGCTCATCCTAAGAACCTTGTGGCGCACCTTCAAGCCCAACAGCGACACCGACTCCTCGTCCAACAAGGCCAAGAAGAAAGTCACACTGATCGTCAGCGTAGTGGTGCTGGCTTTCGGCATCTGCTGGTTGCCGCACCACGTGCTATACATGTGGATTAACTTCGGCAAGTTCCCGCTGACAGACGGCACGCTGGCTCTCAAGATGATGGCGGTCACCCTGTCCAGCCTCAATTCCAGCCTCAACCCCATCATCTATTCCATCATGTCTGAGAATTTCCGGCAAGCTTTGAAGAGATGCTTCTGGCGATGCACCAGCACACGGGAACGTACAAAGGTGGTGCCGCATCATTATCGGTTAAAGCTACTCCGATCAAAAAGATCGTTTCAGGTTTGAAAAACCTATCGAAGGTAAAATCTTCAGCTCTATTGTATATAACATTATTCTGATATCATTAGTTGACATTGAAACAATTAATGCCCAATCAAATAATGTATAAAAGAAAAACAAATCCGAAAATTACGACTGCTTGTCTTGAAATCACTGATCACTGGCATCATTTACTGCCAAACAAAGGCCACAAATCATCTTCTGGAAATTTGCCTTAAAGGGCTGACTTAAAGTAATGGCAATCACTGTTGACTGTTCATTGAATTCGACACAGAAAATGCAGCGGGCTTTATTGCATTATCATGCACCAAAGTAGGAGTCAATTATTGAAAATTATCAGTGGCTTATATATCCCCTACCCACTCAAAAAGTGGATATAGGATATATACCCCACATCCTGCGCGGGATAATTTTACACCCATGAATTTATTATTTAGCACAAGTAAATGACGGTGCATGCACCGTCATTTACTCCTCCTCAAAGCAACACATTGATGTACCTGACATATTTCCTCTTTCCGCAGTTGTACAGCACAACTTCTGATAGCTGAATCCCACAACTGAATCGGGCAAAAAGAATGTTATAGAATGACAAGTATAATTGATCGATTATGCATGGTAACCTATGCACAAAATATATACCAGGCACCAGGTAAAATCGACAAGTGGTTCATTAATTAACAAGTTGTCGCTGATTGTACGTGCCCCTGGTTTTCAAAATGGAAAGATTGTGTGTGTTTTTTTTAAATACTGATCTTCACCGCAAGCACCACACGAAGTAAACTTACTTTTTCTTGCGTATCCTATGGCTAAACGTCAATCTGGAGGACATAATCGTTGGATAATCTTAGACGTCACGTGGATCCATTTAAATATTAACCACGTGACCACAAGTAATATGCGGCATTACGGTGATCATGCACATTGTTGAAGAGACGCTTCTTTATACATTAATTGTCTATCTATGCTATCTCCAACTGTGGTTTTTTTCGTCCGTCGGTTTGAAGCTGAAAATGTCGATAGCAAGCGTCAGTCAGTACAGCGTAAATAAACGCGTCACTCAACGGCACAAACCCGCCTTTTGGATCAACAAGAAACTGTCGCATTCACCAAATGTTTCAGTTTTCACTATGGCTTTCCGACTGCGCTGAATGGGGCGCTTGTCATCATCTTCCTGACTGGCCGTAAGCAATTTTCAATATTTCCAAATCTTGCTCGAGTTAATGGAGAAAAAACAAACAACCCTTACCCATCGCTTTGGGGTTGGATATGCAAGTATTCCGCAGCAGAGCCTTGAAAGGTTTTCCAAGGTCTTCGCTGTCAATCTATCTATCGAAAGAAAACTAATGGAAGTCCAGAAATGTAAAGAACCGGAGACGTAAGACTGGAAAAATAATATGATTACTAAATTGTTTTGGACTGTTTCCTTGAAATGAACAAGTAATTATGCACCTGAATATACCAACGGTGAATTAGTTTAATAGTATGCTACAGCATGGATGTCAGTTCAAAACGGATATATTTCTTCGGGATTTAGGGGAAATAGTTTAAGAAATCGTATTCGTTGAGGTTATGCAAATTAATCGATGAAATGACTGAAATGCTTGTCACTGTTGAAGTCGAGATCATCACGAGACCCAAACATACAACTACAATAATTACAATACTGGGTTATATTGAATGTCATCTAGTCCTGATTTGAAAGGAGTGATTGTGACATTTTTCCTTTCAAAAAAATTGTGGAATTATGGGTATTGCCCATCGAGTGGCTATGTGCTTTTAAAAGTCATCCTGCTTTGAAGCTTGTGAATTTGATGTAATTTTTATGAGGTATGAGGTATAATTAAGAGTGTGGGTGTGACATCCCTGACATTTTCGGCTCACCTTCGTGGCTGGTGGTGCATACCCTCTGTTATGACAGGTGCATTAATAAACTGATCTACGGTCCAAGTTAATGCTTCTTGGCAGGTAGTATAACCGGCGCAGAAGGTCAAATCGCGCCTATTATCATCTCAAAGAGTCTCGAGCTCAAGGCCAGCTCCTACTGTAAGGGGCACCCTCTGGCATTTTGCCGTTTTTTCCTGATCAACCTCTTGTATGATGCTTTATGGTGACTCTCGCCTAAATGCCCTCTTGGATTGCTGTACATTAGGCCAAAAAGTGTCCGGTTTCTTGTCAGCGAGCGCGTCGCAGTTTACCTGTGCTTTGGCAAAATAAAAAAGTTTTTTATTTGGTATAAACGATGTCCAGAAGCTGCCAAACTTGCTTTAATCGACCGGAAAATTTTGACCATTTTTAGTTTTGGATGGGGTTCGGTTGAGTAATATGTGCAGTAGAGGAGTCCCATTTATTTAGCTGGGTGCTCATTTATTTAGCCGGGTGCTCTTTTTCAGATGACGACGTTACTGAATTATAAATCTACATCTGAGAACCACCACACGAACGAGGTGGTCTTATGTCCTGTGTACATGTACAAGTTGAAAATGCTTTTAAACAGTTAAAGTTCAGGGGGCGAGAATTGCGTGCACATGCCGTCGCCGCGATGGACATCACGCGTCATCGTGCATCATTTCCAGAAAAAAGAGAAGGGAAAAAAAACCACGTCGCCGCACCACTTTTGGAGCCAAGCTCTGACCAGAAACCGAAGCTTTTTTTGGCCTTATGCTCTTATTTCCGCTCGTACTTAACCCTGCATTGTTGATTTGAATGTTACGACGCAGCGGCTAAGAACCAAACGAATTACTGCAATATGTACTCTAACGAAAATGTACTGTATAATTTTAAGATCTTGATATCATCTGGTTATCTGGTGAATACTGTATGGTTTAATTAATACCAACTTTGTTCTGAGTTGGCTGAAGAATTCATTCGTTATAGAGGCGCATTATGCGCTGTAGACAGATCAGAAATACCGACATATGGGCCATCAATCAATATCAAAAATCACTGCTCGTAATTCTGGCTGGTAACACCCGTGACGCTTTCACTTAACACATTTGCAAAGCACCTTTCAGGAAATGAACCCCAGATGTACATTTGAAAAAGGAGGGTGTAAGATCTGCGCCTTGTTCCTCCACCTACTAAAACTTAAATTAACGGATCTACCGTGGCTACGGATTTTGAGCACCGAAACGTTCTCGGGTGACTACTGAATGGACACACGCACTGCTCATCCAGGGAGCTGTAATTTGCAAACAATTCGAGTGAAAATGCAATTATGTTTTGTCCAACCGCACGATCTATTAATACGCAGCCATCACAAGCCAGTGAGTGCATAATGTCTATGGTTTGGAAACATATTTGATAATTTCGCAGTGCTTGTAGAAATATCCGTGCTCTTAAACACGGTTGTGATGCTATTACGGAGCAGATAATGGCCAAAATATATGTTCATAAAATTAGTCCTTAAATAAATGTCGGGCACCAGTGAAAAGAGCTGTATTAGGTACAATACTCTGCAACATACAAGATAATTTTTAGATCGTCAGGACTTTGTATTGTTTTCCAACGCTAATAATACAATATAAAAAGTAGCTTACAATGTCCAAATAAACTTCTTATAAAGGTACTTCTTTTCGGTACATTATCTATTAAAGCGTATTTGACGTGCATGCTATTATTCGAGAAGAGTACATTTATATGAATCCGTGAATGTTATTTTACTTATGCAGTTGCAAATGTACAGCTGCCATTCGAATTGAAACATCTTCCGTTTAAACTTTGGTCGGAATTCATTCAACATAGGCCCTACCAAAATTTATGGAAGATGTTGAGACGTGGGTAAAAATCGCTCTCAGAACGGCCACATGCTCGCATACCGGACATGCTGTACCAACACAGGTGATACGTCATGATTGGACAGGGATGCGAAGTGGATGTCCAGTGGCAAATCACTTAAGACGGGATCACACGGAATGGTGGGGTGCTTTATTTCACCTCCAAAGCCTGCCACATTCGCGAAATAACAACCATGTGACAACCAGCGCCCAGTGTTTGCGATTAAATTGGACAGAAATCAACTTTTACCCGCACAGATTGCAAACTGAATGAATTTATCGTACCGACTCGCCGTGAGCCCATTTGGAAAACCTGTGGCAAACCTAGTTACAGTGTTTTAGAACACTAATTTTTTTTTCCTTTTTATTCCCAGAAATGGTATTTAAAGTTGAGAGTATTCATCTGATGAAAGAAAATTATGATAACACTACAATGGTACGCGACCATATCAGAATCAAAAACACTCAGAAAGCGTTCGAAAGAAAGATGAGGTTAGAATATTGTGAATAATTGGCCGTGTAAACGACGACGAGGAACTGAAGTTGGAGGCTGAAGGAGACTGATATCAAATCAGATCAGTTAGACCAGGTCTGTGGGATCGATTTATTGAAGCACGTGTGATGAGAATTTATACTGGAACGGAATAAATCAGATTAAGTCCTATCCAAATGAGAATTTTGAAGGATTACATTGCTCGGTGAGAAGAGAGACTGTGTGCCGGGGAAGAAAGAAATTTTAATTTGCTTGTCCTTGACAGCTGGAGACCAAGTAGAGAAAGGGTGATAGAGAAAACACAAAACAAAGAAAGCCATGGATGGAGAACGGAGACACCGTGCGAGATGTGCTAATCACAGATGAGCAAGATGATGAGGGTGAGTGTCCGGGTCTGTTGGGCTTCGGGAAATTGTCTCGACATATCAATCGCTACACCAGGTGGCGTTGTGTTCCGGAATGCATACGCACTTTCACACCATTCCTCTGTCCGCCAGCGAACAGATAAAGGATGAAATAAATGTCATAAATCGAGGTGAGGAAAAAAGTGCATTGCGTCTGGCAAGGCGCTCCATGCCTCAGTCTGTGCTGTATAAAAACGACAAAATTAGGTTATCCCCTCACTGAATTACGCAGCAATGCACAGTTGGATGTGTCTTGGGGACCGCGCGTGAAAAGTGGATGGGAGGACGATTGACGGTTATAAGTGAACACGCACGAAAAGTGCACAATGTGTGGTATGGATGATTACCGGAACAACTGATGGGAAAAAGGAGGGTGTTGTGGAAAGGGAGTGAAAGAAAACGATGAGAGATTTTGAGGGGAAAATGGTGCAGAGGCCTGAAGGGCGATGAATCGTGGTGTAATTGATAACCATTTACTAGGGTCTGTTGGAAATGAACCTTTCAGAGATGTGATGTTTTATTGTAATTTATGAGATTTGTTGCTCTGACTGCCATTTTGTATTCCATGTCTGCATTTCGAATACACAGACGGAGTGTCCAATACCTACCGACTCTCCATTCACACTAGCATCTCAAATGATGGTAAATTTTCCCTCTTTTTTCATTACCATGTGGAAAAAATCATTAATTTTTTGTAAAGGTGTCTCTTTTCTCCTAATATCGAATTGGTCAGACAGATGAGGAGCTGTGATTTTCACTTTGTGTCTTGTTATTTTTTGTCTTATTAATGGTTAATGTGTACATTTAATACTCTCCTTTTTGTAATGATAACTATTATCAGATTTGATTGTTTCATGTCTTGACGTAATCGAATCTATTCAGTGGGCCTACTGGCTGGTTTTCACAAGCGTGCTAGAAGCAATCTTGATGGATAGACCTATTAAATCTGGAACGCAAACCCCAAAGGTGATGAACGACGGATGTTTCTTCGCGTCTTAGAGATGCCCAAACTAGGATTCTTCAAGCAAGCCCAGGTCTCCCTTTCTCTCCCCCCCCCAGCCCTTATGGGAGTGCAGTTTAGATGAACTCTTAGCGAGGGACAATTTGTGAGCGATGCGGGAATAATTTGTCCCGGGCCGCCTGGCCATTCCGCGCGCTGTTGGGTGTTGATGACGACTCCAGCGTGACGCTCATAATAATTATGCGGCAAACGTGCCCACTGACGCGCCGCTGTGCTTTCATTTTTCAAGAAGTTCGTCTACAAATAATTTGTTTCAGTCCGAGAAAACCGTTGCAGAAATCAAGCGTTTAAAACAAAATAGACAGATTACATCAAGACATGGAATGCTCCGTCCGTGAGTAAACTTAGATGGAGGACAATGATACTGAGCTTGAAGAAACCGGTAAAGGTCGTGTTGTGGGTACAAAGCTCGAGTCTTGAAGTATGGTACCGATATTGCCCAAGCACTTACAGTGTGGCTTAAAAGTGAAGTCCCCACATGAATACGGGAAGCAATTCAAGTATCTTGGTATACCGTTAGTCCAATTCAACTCACGAAATGCAATGTTTGCTCTTGAAACATGTAGGCTGTTTGAGTTTGAATAGGCTTCCCAAATCTACCTGGAAAAGTTCGACTCCTGGAGCTTTCAAAGGTTGCTCAAGGAAAACTGATTTTTAGAGGTAATACGAGTTTGTAGCTCTGTTTTCATTCCCAAATACTGTTTTGAACTTTCGGTATATACGAGGGAACATCGATAGTTTTTACTCTGGGGTACTGAAGAGAATGTTGTGGGTGGGACCCGCCCCACCCAACCCTAGTGGAAAGCCTTGAGTGGATCTGAACGAAAGATTGAATGGTATCTTATTTGGGATGAAAACATGACCTTTACTCAACAATCACAAAAGATTCTTCAAGGAATATTGTAAGATGTAAATAAAATGTATTTTATCACTCCATATACTTAAACATATATTAACGAATGTATATTAGACCTCAGTGTAAAATATGAAATATTTATTCGTGAGACTTGTTCACATAAAATGTGCATGTAAGTAATAAGTTGTATGAAAGAAATGGATTGAATGATGGAAAAACGTGGAAACTCGTTATTTTTTCGAAGGGTCACAGAAACATGCAGGCTGCAAAATTCAAACGCAGTCACCGAAAAGGTATTGTCTCTCTCTGCGACGCTTTTATTTAGAATATGTTTTTATTCGTGTTGTGTCATTTACTGATGAGTAGCTTCGTGTCCACTCAGCCTTATTTTCGGTGTCCCGTCCGGAGACTTTACTCTTATTTCAGGGTGAATCCACGGCGCCTGCGTGTCCCTCCCCAATCGCTTCTCTAAGCTCATTCAGGAGGAAGCGACTTTCACATATACCCTTGCCAGACGGATGCCAGAGATACATTTCCTTAGAATTTTGCACGTGTCTATGAGCCCCGAGCGGGACCAAGAGAGGGCGCAATTTTCAAAACAACAGCGGTTCCTTTGGTGGGAACTGCACTTCACTGGTTCACCGTTAGTATGAAACGCACGTGTAACGGTCACGTTGCCACCAAGAAAATGAAAACTCCTCCCCATTAACATGGCTTTTTTCAACCGATAGGGTGTGCTAATGCTGAAAGCGGATAAACTACTTTTTTTGACAACTTAGTAAGGTCATGTACATCGCTCATCTTCAGTGTCACTAGTTTGAAACTTTCTACTTTTTGTTCTATTTTGAGTTTTAAAACATGACCAAGTTTGACAGGATGAACGAGAAGCTAGTTGCATAAATTTGTGCCAGGGGAAGGGGGATTGGGCAGTTATTTGAAAAGCGAGGGATGCCTACACCAAATGACACTAGGGGGCGCTGTTTATGATACAGATGTACATCTTTACTAGGTACACTTTCACCCCTGAACATTACACAAAATTGCATACATATAGGTTTCTGCACTATTTGCCAGTTTTCTCACCACGAAAGGGGGGGATTTAATAACCCTTCCCTGGTCAAAAAGTAGAGGAATATAATGGGAGAAGCAAATAAACTTGAGGCTATCACAAGTATCAGGATAATCCACTGCATAACAAAGATGAAGTCGCATTCATGTCCTTTTACATCGAGACGCACTGCAAAAAAAAAAGGGTTCAAGTGGTATGCAAAATCTACCACAAACACTTTTCTTTAAGTCGATTACAGTTGTACACTCACTTTAAAGTTCGGTAGGCTCTTACCTTCAGCCGTTCTGAATTTGATTGAAAGTGCTTCTGGAACGAGGCTATACTGCATCCAGGAGGGCTGCACTTTAACCTTGCTTCTGTCTGCGTGTGACAGGCAAAAGCAAAGTCAGCTACGCACGTCCATAATAAAAAAAATTATCCATTTGACAGATTGATACCAGTAAGCGTGCCAACAAAGACAGGTTTTTATTTGCTGTTAACTTGACCTGCGGCGAGACCATCTCTTTCTTCACAACCCACTCCACGATTGGTGTAAGGGATTCCTTCAAAAATCACAGTAACAAATGCGTCGTTTCATCGTCACTTTAAGCAGCCTTCAGAACATCCTCATTTTACAAGGATTTTGAGTTGATGAAAAACAGATGCAGGGGATCGCTTTCCGAAAATAATGAACAATGCAGGAGGAGTCGTCTCTTAAAAACCAATCACTCTCTAATCTGTTATCGCGTCGCCCCAAACGATACTGGGGATTGATATTCGAAGCCACATGCAACCGTTGCCACTGCCGCTTAATCTGGAAGCTCTTTCCAAGCGTATGCAGTTTCATCGGGATATCAATTTCACCACCTCAAAAGGCTGCTTGTGATATCGCATCATCCACCTGCTCGGAATTCCACAACACTCCAATACCCTCCCGCCACCAAAGAGATCGGGTTGAGGACGGTTAAATAAAGGCAGGGCGGCTCCGCAGAGTAAAGCCTTGCTCACCTACATACCGGTTTACTCGAAAATGGCAGGAGTCGAGCATCGTCAAGACATGCTGGAGTCGGCGTTCGGAAGAAAAGGTGGTTGCTTTGTTGAGTTTAATAGGCCCACCTTAGGAACAGACTGAAAATATACGGTCAGGGTTACCAGCAAGAAATCATGAAAACGCTTTAACGATTTGGAATTTTCAATTAACCATGTTCAGTGGCATATCCAGAAGGGTGGGGCAAAATGAATTTTTTTAAACCAAAAACGGCCGTCCTTTTACTTTTATACGTGAAAGAATCTTTCCAGCACCACCTAACCCTTCAAATAAAGGCGGTAAAGTACCGTTTCAAGGAAAACTAGCTCTTCCAAATCCTTGACAGATTGTCAGCATGTCAGGGAGCAACTCGATCCCTTGCCCCGTGCCTTGCAGACTGGATACGTCACTGATTCTTTTGACTTTACGGGTTCTTTAACTTTTTTTCCTGTACTTTGATTTCGTCTGAAACTCTGCATATTATCGATGTAATTCCTTCCAGCTCGAGATTAACAAATGGCTTGCGATCGCTCCCGGTGAATACGTGTCCTTATGAGACTTGAAGACAAAGAAAATAAAGATAAACGTGAGATATTACTCGACTCTCTAGAGACAAAAGATAGCTCAAACAGAGTGAAAGCCACTCTTAAAAGAGTGAAAATCTGGTTTTTACTCTTTTGAAATCGTTTTTAAAAGGGACTCCCTCTTTTTGAGAGTGACTTTTCTTACTTTTTTGCATTTAAAGAGAAATGTTCGCAGCTACATTTAGCCACAGTATTTGAAAAATTATTCTTACACTGAACAAATTCCCCCTTTATGAGGCATTTTATTCAGCGAATATTTTTCCCGTTGAGACGAAGTCACGTCTCGCCTTGTTTTTTCGATCATAGGCATCGCTACACAAAATGTGTACTTTCAATTTTTCCTGATCATGAGCTCCGTTTGACAACTGCTGGTCAGACTGGACAGATTATGAACAACTCTCCGTACTCAAGTCTACAGAACCAAATCTCACAAAGAAATCTTTGAGGTAAGTCATTCAAATGAGACTAGTAAGCCGCTTGAACGAGAGTGTAAGCTGTTCGAACAGTACACTTCCATAAGTCATACCAATACTAAGAACTAAGGGTTAAATTCAGTAATTTTAGATGAATAAATTTCAAGATGGAAATCCAGGAGTATGGGCCGGCAGGGGCGTAGCGACCGGGGGTGTGGGGGTGCAGCAGCCCCCTCCCAATAATTAATTCCAGTCGGCAAAAGAATAAAAAAGTACATAAATGTATGTATAAAAGCATGACACCTAGCGTACCATGGATCACTTTGAGAAGTTTATACACCACAAGAGGTTGGTGAACAGGTTACAAGTCAGCAAATTGACTCTGGCGCCCTCCAGGGGAATACAATTTATATTTGAAGTAGTTCAGGTTACAGATATAGGCCCAGGCGCTAAGATGGAGCATTAACCCTAACAGTCCTCAATCCCTCACCTGTTGGAGGACTGAGGATTGTTAGGGTTAATGTAGCAGGGGAGGGAGGAGGCACAACTGCACCTCCCCTCGTGGAAACTCCCCCCCCCCGCAGACAAGCTAGCCTGGCTACGCCACTGAGATGGGGGAAACCCACGTCCATGACAAGTATTGGCTGGGTTTACTTTTTCCGTATTATTTTGCCGGAGTAGCCCAGCAAAATAGTTTTTAAGGAACTGCTTGCCCTGAGGGCCCTCGAAGATGATCAGGATACTGTAGCTAACCTTAATCGAAAAACTGCAAAGAATTGCCAATGACCAGTGTGACTTATCCACTTTTTACTCGTCGATTTCCAACTCTGTCAAATCGGTAGCGATGTTTACACCATCTCACCTGCTCCGCCAGAGGGGAAAAAGCTCGCCAAACTTGTCGCAGACAACATGAAGGACCGATACAGGTGCCACGTAACTCGTTTGTAATTTGCCGCGAGATAAAAAAAAAGAAATAGGCAAGATACCAGAATTGAATCATGTTGATTCCGTTGGAAACAGTTCAAGCCTCGATCGAGACCAGAAACTCCTGCAAATTAAATTTTCACCGCGTAAGAAACTGAAGTGATGGAATCATTCCTTTAAGTATTAGGGATAAGGAAAACAGGCACGGTGCAATTTCCTTTTGATAAGGATGCCGTCGTGTTTAATAGGCCCTTTCATTCTAGTTTTATTTTCTAGGTGCACGAAGGCTGGTCTGTTATTTGCCGTATAGCCGTAGGCAAGAACGTGCATAATGTCTACTGAGCTCTTGCAAACGTACGGCCAATTTGGCCATTATCCACACAGCACGACATGCCGCGACAACGCAGAGAGAAAAACATGCTAGGACATGCGTCAAAACTGCGTAACTCTCTCGTAACTTTGAACGAGTGATTAGCCAAGCCGTACTCTTTGCTGTGTGGCATTAGGAGAAATAAAACAGCCAATAAACAGATTTTACGATCAAAATTTAAACAAGCCTTTGGCAAGATCAGCTGAAGTATTCCACGAACCTTTCTGTAACAGTCACTCATGTGCAGAATTGATTTCAAACCTAGACGTTCGCCAGATACCTGCAGATGACATCCTGGGTATCCCGTACCAAAAAAAATGTCAAAAAATTCGCCCAAAGGAGGATTCGCATCAGGGCAGCGTTCCTTTCTTCAAACCAAAGTAAGAAAAAAAACAGGAATGCTTTTTCTGTGTTGATACGTTATACCACTGTTTACCGTTACTGCATGCGGTAACGGTGTATGTACACAACGGTGAATCGTATAGATGTTCCCTTTGTCGAGGCCAACTCTTCAATCAGATCGGTCAATTTCTGGCAAAAATCCTGCTCGCACGGGTCTCTCAAGCGTAAAATACACCTGCCCCTTATCAAGGCAATTCTCTACAAAATTTTCACGCGTATTTGGAGATGTCGGCGGAATCGGGCTGGTGTTTTTTCCGCACGCATTCTTCACCAATTTCAAAAAAAGATAACGTCTCAAGAGGAGTCAGTCTATTTATTCGTGTTCTTTCATTACCATGAGGTAGAGGCTAGCCGATGATAAAATCTTTGGAAGTGGATTTTTTTCTCTCCTGTATGGCAAGGACAGCAACTCACGGGTCTAAATGTTTTCTTTTTTTAAACTCCTTTTTTTTTAATCTCAGCTTCTCGGTAAGTTCAGATTTTTTTTAACTGTCCAACATTGCATTGCAGAAGGATATTTTTTGTTTTTCAACCAACTGTTAACGTTTTTCTAATCTGATAATGTTGGATGAGCAATTTGTATTTGCATGCGGGATTTCATAAGTTGTGTGGTTCATTTCTCGATAATTCTCTAGCACACTGTTGGACATTACAGTGCATGGGGTGGCCAAGGAAAACTAGGCCAAAATCGCTGAGGGGCCCGTAATAAGGGCACGTTTGCATTCAAGTCTGCTGGCAGCATGATGACAGGGGACGCAGCACGCGCCCCCTGCGTCACCCGAAGACGATTTAGGCTTCTGACCAACACCAAGGAAACAATGACGCAGAATCGCGACTGAACAACCGGACAGGCTTGAGCATAAATTGAAAAGGACCAACAATATCAAGTTGCCAGTCCTCCATCAAAATAGGTCTCCCCTCCATAAAAAGGAACGGTTGATGAGCGAGGACTTAAATTGGACCAAATAATACACACACAGAAATAATTGCGACCAGATTTTTTTCCAAGGCGCGACAACAGTTACTTTCGTTTTGTTGTCTCGCATATAAAATTGGCCTTCTAAAAAGAATTTGTGCCGGTTTTAATTTCTGTTTTTATCCTCTTTAATTTTCATTCATTCATTTTAAAGCTGAGTTTGTTCATTTCGCATAGCTGCTTACCTTATGCACGAAAACATCTGCATAAAGTGGAGTATACTTTGTAGTCGTTATATTTTATAAAACGCGATTTCCTTTCAAGAGGTCGATCAACAACGAACGATTCTAACGCTTTCCAAACTTTTCATCAAAACTGACTTTTTATAATGACCAGTCACGCATACATGAAGACGTTATATAGGTGTGTTTTTTTAAAGTTCATATTTGCAAAATCCTTTTCCTGCTTTCCGGACTTCAACAAGTGAAATGCAAAAAAAAATTAATCTGATTTTGCAGTGTCATTTCTTACTACACTTTGAAATCCAGAAAAAAACTTTGTTCTGAGGATACGAAGCGTATCTATTTTCAGTCTTTAAAATGCATGGTTTTACTTATCTCTGTCAAACTGCAAAATTTGATAGTTTCTACAATTTTAATGCATCTTCCAATGATTACTTTACACACGTTGAAGTATGAAAACTCGAAATATTTTGTCGTGTTGGGCGTAAGGCGCCTTTCCATATGCGCGTCAACACTTGCCTCAAACGTTTCGTATCCGTCAAAATCACTCCCAAGGCGATTTTGACGGCCAAACGCAACGTAGGCTACACGTGTGTGATTTGAATGGAGTCTACATGTATTTGTGTGTCCGTGGAAGTGAAACCCACGAACGCATCGTGTACGCAACGCACCCCAAAAACGTACATAATATATAGAAAGGCGCCTTGATATGTCTTCGATAATTATTAGAAAGTTTGGAAGGATTTAGAACAGTCAGTCACACACGCTGATATGAGACCACAAAATAGAGAAGCACTGTTCATAAATGGACCATAAACAAAAGATTAATCTAACCATGAAGGGCAGCAAACAGCGTAGGTTTAAGTTCTTAAGGAGGCTAAGATTATCGGCAAGTCATGGGAACTGGTGCAGAAAGTGACGCGCGGCGTTTTAAGACAGCCACTTCTCTCAGCACGGAAAGACTGCTGATCCGCCGGTGAGAAAAATCAAGCTGGGGAGATCTTTTCACCTCACCCTTTGCGATCTGTCTGGCGTGTCTCTCCTGATCTGTAAAGTATGGGGCGATTAAGCGTTCAAACGGGTGACAAATACGAAGGGACGAAGAGTACAGATGCACCTGTCACGAGCTCCGTTCCATTAGATCAATCACTTACAGTCTCACGATGAACAGGGGACAAATAATACGAGATGCTAAATTGAACCTAATGTAAGTTTTTCTCTGTTTTCTTCAGGAAAAGAGGACAAGTTCGGGCGCCATTTCCTCTCCTCTCAGACCTTCTGCCCCGGGCAAAGTGCTACCTAAAAAGCCCAGCAAGAGAAATAAAGTATCTCGAGTGAAAGCTGCATACTAAACACCTTTAAACAGAAGATACAGACAGCATCAACAATTGAACAAGCCAGCAGCCCTGCGCAATTAGCTTGTCGATAAGTGCATGATGAAATAACAGGTGTCATCTTTACGCTGCTGCGTACGCTGCATGCTCAATATCTGTTACTCTGGAAATTCTACTCCATGAGTTTGTACTGGGACTGAGAGAGTCTACTTCATGACCAAAAGTTCATTACGGAGTTTAAGTCAGAAGCTAAACCATTATCCCAACCTCTACCCATTCAATAAAAACAGAATGTAACTAATACCAGTATCTTTCTGTCCCCATTTAGTAATTGAAAGCTAGACTAAATAAAATTAATTTCTAAATACTTTGTGCGATTTTGTATCAAATGGTTAATATTAGTCCAAAGTTATAGCCTTGTCTCAAACAGCATGTTTTGCTTCACTGAGTTATTCAGTTTCGAGGGAAATAGTGGGTTTGCGACATTATGTACACTGTTAGGCCTAAGCAGTTGAATACAATCTTGCTATCAGTTTGTAAATAATGTTTTAGAAGGTAAACATGGCCTAATTGCTAAACATCAATGTCCAATAGCTAAACACTCTCCGTTCACGTTTTAAATACGTTCAGTATTTGAATTTAGCCAAAAGCTGAATTGCGATCAAACTGCATTCAACTTAATGACACATACAGAACATGTCTGAAAACTGGTACCAAGAGCGTATAAAGAAGTGCACAATTTTCCAGTGACGTGCCCAATTGCCAAGCAAATCGTGAATGCAAGGCCACAACCTAAATACACAAACGTTACACTGACATTAAAAAAACCCTGTAAATTCGCCCAGGATGATTTGTGTGTTACCTCGACTGTCGGCGCCAATTTGACTTGGGACACCAATTTAACAACCGTGGAGGCTCCAGCCTCAGGTCCGCCAGTCAATCTGCTCTTGACGAGAGCTTGAATTCACGGGGTTCACGAGAAGTTCACTCATAATCATCGGCGGGGAGAACAACAGGATCGCGAGTCGGCGTTAAATCCCGGCCCTTATTTATGACGCAATTCTCCCAAATCGATTAGGGAATTATACCAGTTCGCGTTTCCCCTCGAGCCATTTGTCTTGTTTTCAAAGGTCGGTGGCTGCTTTCGGTGGCTGATGACGTATCTCATTTGAATTGTAGAATCAAATTTACGACAAACAGAAACGACCACGCTGAAAGTGAGCACAAGCACCAAAGCAACGTGCGTCTTATCGGAGGGGCTACAGCAATATGGGTAAGAGCATTGTGTACGTCTTCTGACATTAACATTCACGGAATCAGTCTATGGAGGACTGAACCTGACATATTGCTCTGCCATGTAAAAATCGCTGCTGTGAATTGAAGTGTGAATTGAATTATTTATAATAGAAAGCAATACAATAAATAATAATAAAAAAAACAACATCTAACTTAATTAAAAGACAAAGTAATTAATTAATCCTTCAATGTTTTGCGACAAAGTACCTTTACAAAAGATTCAGAACATAAGCCTGGAGTAGTTTACATCTTACAAGGAAGGTTGCACGACATGAAATGCTCCATGTGCTAACTATGACACGTTGCCAAGGTAACGAATGAAAAAGCCCATCGCTGTACCACCAGCAAACATGGCTGGAACAGTGACTGCTGAGAGCGCCATCATGAGCCCAAACCCAGACAAGCCGTGTCCACTGTTGAGAGAAAATCGGTTTCAGTTAGTTGCCTAGTAATTAACAAAATTACATAATTAATGTCCCATATAAAAAAAAACCGGCTAAAAGGCTCAAGTTACTCATCTGGAAACACCACAACACGCCTATACTCCAGCTGTTGCGATACCTAAAGGTAAAGACTTAATTAATTGACGTATCCATATCTGAGACCACAAACTATCGGCATGGTTTATGTTTCTCCAATATTCAGGTGGAAGGGAAGAACGTAGTCCTTGGCACTTGGCTGTAATAATTTTTGTTGAAAATGATTTGAAATTTTAAAAAAAATCGAAGTGAAGTGATGTAAAGCATCCAAGTCTGATTTGAAAGATCACCGACGATTTTCAAGACATATTTTGATACGGAGAGGAACGCGAGAGCAATACCATTCAGTACCTTGTACATCCCCCAGCCATTCGGGCTCCGTAAAGCATCAGAACTCCACCCACGAAGGCGGCGGTAGGCGTTATGCCGCCTGCCGCACCCAAGGAACTGGAGGAGGCTGCCGATATGCATGCCCCGCCCACTGCTCCTATCACAAACAGCACCTGCATCCCAATACACGGTGTATTCATAGGTGTGAGGGAGTGAAAATGAAATTCATGAAAATCGGAAATGCAAATCACAACGACTTTTTTCAAATGTTGCTTCTTGCAATTAATATAACCTTTTCTGCTGCTGTGTTTTCAATGTGTCAATTTTATAAAGAGGTAAATCACAACGGAGTGGAATTAAAGTTTTCCTGGCAATTTCTGAAGAAGAAAAAACAATTTATACAGGCCTTTATGGAATCATCCCAAAGAAAATAAGAAAATAAGAAAGATTGTTGTGGGAATTTCGTATTTTATATTCAATCAATATTTCCAGACTTTAAAAGAAACAGGTAACCTTTGCTCAAAAATGGTTAGGATTTGCCCGACCTTGACCAATATATTTTTAATATCATCTTTTAGCATTAACCAATTCCTCAAAACGTTTAGCCAAACTGGTTGATTTAAAACAAGAGATAATTTCACCCCAAAGTGGATGTCAGACTCGTGCTAGCAAAACACCTTTTACCACCTTGTGATAATTTTACAAAAATTGTCGCATGATAAGCACCGTACCTGCCACCAGTTATCAATGCCCCGTTTGTACTGTGTCAAATACGGCATCTTTTCCTCCAGCGTCCTGCTGACACAAAGCTGCGACAGCATTGTGCAGTAACTCTGGCTTCCGCCTACGGTGTCCCCCACCGTAAATATCACGGGAACTTGTAACAGCCCGATCAGAATGCCTGCAATTACATCAAATTCATGATCGCGAGTGGGTCAAAGGGTTTGGCCAAATACAAGAAGAAAAAAATCAAGAGAAGACATTGCAACACACAAAAACAAAATGTAGATAATATTGCTACCTTAACTAATCTAACGTTAACAGCAAAGTAGTTTGGGTCGGTTTTGATCTAGGCAATTTCCCCAACAGCTCACTGATCGTTTATACTACCTGACATGTAAGGTGGCCATGCCCGTACAGCTAACAGTGATTCCCCCGGTCCGGCATTCCAACCCTAAAATAAAAAATATGTATCATTAAGATCAGAATGATCAGGTCCTGAATGTCATCCCAAGACGATACGCGATTTAAACTTGTCATCAGGCCCAGAAATTCAATCGTGTCAACGATCGAAAATGTAATTCGTTTTGTCGACAATTCCCGGGTCAAAATGGCCCCTTGAGAAAAAAATTGTTGCCAGGTAGACCAGCGAATGATATTTATGGATGTCTTTATACAAACACGCGGAATTGGTCTCACAAATCCCGAGGCAGTGTTGGATGAAGTAAACGTTTATATAGGCCTAAATTTATTTTTACCTCATACTGAGTTTGCCACGGAAACAACGATTCAAAGATGAAGACAACGGATGACGTCAGAGTTGCCGTGGTGACACCCAACAGAGGATATGGGATACCGAGATAGTGATCCACTCTGAAGATTGAAGGGAATCGGAGACGGAGAGAGAGAATTAAATCAACAACAGCGAAACGACAAGACTACAGTTATTACCAAACGTGAAATGAAATCAGTGATGAACTGAACGGGCAAACCATTTAATTAATGGTTTAAAGCTGGTCTATGAGGGGGTTGCATTCTTTAAATAAGGGGGAGAAACATGAATTTCATACCAAAATATACTACGTGGTAAATTGGGGCTGTATTCTCTGAAGATTTTGGTTTAACCACCACAGTTCCAATTTCAACCTGATTTTACCCGAATTTCAACCTGAATTCAACCCTGGTTTTACAGGGGGCTAGGTGGCCCTTAAACTTTCGTCTGGTCCCCTCCCCATGCAATGTGAACAAGCAGTAGCGAAAGTTAAAAGGTGACGTCACGTGCGAAGGGTCTAGCCCCCCCCCCATGGCTCTAGAGCTGCGCCTGCCTGAACCTCAAAGCTTCCTCCTTAATAATTAAAAAAAAAACTCGATATTCTTCGAAAGATATCGGAATGGCGCATTGTAACAGCTGACTTACGTTTGAGGTTTGCGGAGCGACGAGGCAAAGAGGTTCCTGACTGAAGACTCGGTCAATGCATACAACAGCACTCCAGCAAAACAGCCCAACAGAGTGTAACCTGAAAGGGACATATCAGGTCCAAAAGAAAAAAAAAAAAAACGACTACTGACGACAAGTTGTGCAATTGGTCACGTTTAACATGCTTCCATTTGAAAGTCGAAAAGGTCCATGGCGATCGTCCCCTCCCCCTCCCCGCCAAACAAAAATACTGCAAGACAACACTGTGCATAATTCAAAGGGATAACTTTCTGAATGTGGATTTTTCGTAAGATACAATCACAATATTTTACCTATTGAAAATCGCTGTTCAACTCATATCAAGAGCAGGTACTTCTGCGTGAGCACATCTAGCTGGTCCGTATGTTCTTCATATGTACTTTTTTGAAGTAAATTAATTAAAGGCTTTATACAAACCTGCGTTAGGCACCGAGGCTCCAATTTGAGCGAGGACTATGCCTGGACACTACCAAGAGAACATGAAGAGTTCATGTTTCAGTAATCGAAATGTGACTGCAAAAGGATTTGTCTCATAAAATTTACAAATGTACGATAAAGTCGATGCGCGTTACAACTTCTCCGTGAAACTGTTTGAACTTGTTTTAATGGAGAAGTTGGTGGCGCGTTAAAAAGGCCTACAAAGTGGGTGGAACTTGTAAACAAAAGGGCTAGCAATATGAGTCGCTACTAGAAATCTTAATTCGGTGAAAAGCTCTTCAAATCTTTTCCAATGATGTCTGCAAATAGAAGAAAATTACGGAACTGTCATTTTCTCGAACTTTCCAGAACGTTTGTGGTTTTCCAAGTTGAGCAACATCCCTCAAGGAAAATTCGTTCATCCTCCGATAAAACAACTTTCCTACACGCAAACTCACCGAAGCACAGAGAGCCATTCCCGCGCCCAAGACCACCCCGCCGCTGACCGACATGAGCGCCCCCTTGCGAGTAAGACAGGCCAGGTAACCCTGACGGATTTGAAGGAAGTACTTCCGCGTTGGCGGTAAGGCGGCTAAAAGACAGAAGCAGATGATGCTGGTTGTCAGAGCGGAGAGGAAAGTCTTGAGCATAATGAATCTGGAATAGACAAACTGGTCTCGGATGGTTGCTGGCTCGAACACTGTGGGGAAAGTAACGGACATGTTACAGAGAACATCTTGGTGTGGATCGGCCAATAATTACAATTTTTCAATAAGCACCAAATTTGCTTACAGAAGAAATATACTATTCAAAAAAAAGTTAAGGACCACTTTCTTCTTAATCTGTATTTTTCCCCAAGCTATGAGTGGGGTTTAGTTCTGTCATTTTTGGTTTGTCTAGATGGTGTTCTCATTTGAATAAAAAATTTGAAAAATGTTTCAAAACATCAAATGCACATTTTCGGTAGTAAAATATCTCATATAAAAGTATACACGAAATAAAAAGTGGTCCTTAACTGTTTGAGTAGTGTAATATATATTAATAAAAGCAGTAAGCTTCATACGATGCTGCACCTCCTTGACAAAATTTCATGACAGGTGCAAAAGTTGCAAGGATGGTGTAGTTGACTATGATTGATTTCTTTTTTCACTCCAACGAGGGACCTGAGAATCATTGCGCAAGTTTGAAAGGGCCAACGAGCTACCCAGACTTTTTTTTAAGATTTGAGATCAGTGGCGACCCTTGGCAATAGGCCTAAGAAAGTGGCTAAAAACAGCTCCGAGTCCACATTGAACTGGTCTAGAACAGGCACGTTCCGGTAGGGCCGCAGTATCCAGCGTAGATCATATCAACAGCGCCCTCTGGTGGTACAAGTGTGAATTGGGCGACATGATGGCCGAGTTCGGGCGGCTTGTTCTCGTATGTTCACGAACCGCTTGATTTGTTGTTCGTTAGTCGGCCGCACGAACACCGGGAACGTACAATCGGTTACTGCTGGTTGTTGCGTGCATCATGGTGGCATCCATGTACGTTCTTTCAGAGTAAACTTTGGAAAGCTGGGCTGAATTCTATTCTATTTAAAAAGGAACATTTATTTCTTTGCTATGGAAAATGAGTATTGTTAACTTTGTAAAATTTCCGATTGTCTCCAGCTTTGTGAGCCATCTCGATATTTTTTTGCGGCTGTTCAAAAATCAAAATCTCACGAGGTTTTCCGTGTGTTCCTGTAAAACCCTGATGAGGATGTGGTGTGTGATCCTGTTCCAGGAACAGTGTTCTTGAGCCGTGTTCCTGCTGTTCGAGCGCGAGAATAAGAAACCCATGTCAAGAACAGGCCGCCCGAACTCGACCCTAACGACATAAGTGTTAAGTTCCCGTATGTAGCCTTATCCAGTTCTACATAACATCGACTGGTTTTCCTTTGTGGGAAAGTCAGTTCTGAAGTGGAAAGTACATTTACTGATATTGTGGACCAGTTGATACAGACATAGTAGTCATGCCCTGTCAATTAACATTAAACCACAGGGAAAGAATAAGCTGAGCTATCTATTACCAGAGTTGTAATGACTCGAGTCAAAGACTCGACTCGAGTCCCGACTCTAGTCACAATTTTTGGCGACTTGACTTAAGTCCCAACGGGAAAATGACTCAACTCGAGTCTTTGCTACCAAATGACTCGACTCGACTCGCTCATGGAGACTCAACTCGAGTACAAGCTTATAAGACTCGAGTCTCAAAAAAAGTAAAAGCAAAATTTTAGTTGACTAGATACCTGTCACCCTAATTTATTTTCAGTATGTCTCAATGAAAATAAAAATACCAAAAAAATGACTTACATGTAGTTGTGTTTTTATTGCATTCTGTCCAAACAATTATGACTCAAATTCACTCCAGCTCGGTACTTAACTACAAAAAGTGATTCGATTCGACTCAACTTATTTATCTAACGACTCGACTCGAGTCACTATGTTAAACTTTAATTTAAGCGATATTGAATGAAGGAAGTGCAAAATTAGCCAGGAAAATCTATGCAAATAAAACAAGCTTGACCCCTCTGAAAATTTGGTTCTGGGTGCCTCCTTGTTAGGCTCTTGAGTTTGGTTCATAGGTTGAAACCATTTCAGCAATAGTAGACATTAAAATGTTGCTGCAACATCTATAAAGAGAAATGCATGACTAGAGTGATGACCACTGGCAAACTGAATCTAATGTAGAGTGTAAGGCATGCATGAAGATACACGTACTGCCTTAGGCCTCAAAGGCGAAAACAAAACCTAGTTATTTTACACAAAAGGAACAGAACGTGGAACTTTTTTATGCGCCTATAAATGCCAACTTTATTAGTAAATGATTTACTGATGCTTTAACCCTAACTACACCAAGTCCAAAAGCACTCCGTGTGACTTACACTAGAGTTAGGGCTACAATTGACCCATCTACGGTATACATGTAAATGGGCAGTTGTGAATGTAACAAGGCTGGTTATGGTTCTTTCAAGTAGAAGGCTTTTCTTAATTTTCTTTAAAAGGCGCACCTGCCTGAATTTTTAGAGCCCTCTGAATCGTTATTCCCACTGCAATAAGTTTCTGATCCATCCCCCTTCTGCCGTCAATCTGCAGCCCAAATGGCACCCCTCCAGCCCTGGATAACCCCCCTGGAATGACCAACGAGGGGTGATCGCAGACGTTGGCGAAGTCGCTGTTGGAGGTGACCGTGAGAATCAGAGACTCTCCCGCCTCCCTGCCTGGGACGGGGTCCGAATCGAGGATGTCCAACCTCTGTGGTGCTATCTTGGTAGCGGGCATCAGGATGCAGTCCACCCTCTGATCTTGGAAGTATTCTTGCAAGTTCCTGAGGAGGTCATCTCTGGCTTTGAGGGCTCGGCCGTACTCCTCTTCGCTGGGCGGGTTTCTCAGAGCGTCTTGGAAGATGGATCTGACGCGAGGACAGGCTATCACGTCAACGATGGCTTCTGGGCTGACGTCGTGCTTGTGGAGCTGGAGCCATTCCTCCAGGCGCAAGACGGCTTCCTTCTTGTTCGTCAAGAATTTATACTTTCGTTGAAATTCTCCCACACCGGGAATTTCCCCATCTGCAACAATGGTAAAACCTTGATCCCGCAGAACCTCGAGACACTCAGTGGCATACGTCTGAACCTCAGGATCAAGATCTTCCCAGAAGTGAGATTTTGGCACACCAATTCTGATCTCGGAAGGGGCTAGATCTCGATAAACCTCTTCTCCGGTCATCACAGAATCAAGAATTGCTATGTCCTTCGCACTGCGTACAAGGGGCCCCACTGAATCCTTGAGGTGGGTAAACTTGACTCCGAAGTCAGCCGGCCAACGCCCGATAGAGGGGCGCAACCCAAAGATCCCGTTGAAGGAGGCGGGAACACGAATCGACCCACCAGTGTCCGTGCCGAGAGCGACCGGGACAATGTCGGCACCGACGGCCCCACCACTTCCCCCGCTGCTGCCGCCGCAGGAGAAATCGTAATTGAAGAAGTTGTGGCAGGCGCCAGTGTAGAGGTTTGCGGAGGTTATCCCGCACGCCATCTCATGCATGTTGGTTCGGCCAGCATTGATGGCCCCGGCTGCGAGAAGTCGCCTCACCACCTCGGCGGTCCTCTTGGCCCTTCTCCCTGCCAGGCCCGAGGTGCCAGCTCCGGTCACCTCTCCTTCGATGTCAATGTTATCCTTCACCGCAATCGGGATGCCTTCAAGATGCCGATGGGTCTTGCGCCTGTATCGGGCATCCGCCTCCTTGGCATCATCCATCATCCGGTCGGTGTCCATGGAGATGAAGTAATTGAAGGCCTTCAGTTCTGTCGCTCTCCGGATGACTCTGTTCATGTAGTCCTCGCATGTCAAGCTACCATCCTTGAACTTCTCCAGGATTTCATTGATGGTAAGGCGATACAGTGAGAGTGTTTGGACTTCAACTGAGTCCAGCCTGTAAAACCACACAATGAATGATGCTTTGATTCCAAGCATACTGACACAGGTGAAAAAAGATTGTTTATGTGAAAAGAAAAACAAGAAAAGGAAAAAATTGTTTATCCACACCGTATATTATAGCCATGTCACGTTGCGGCCGTCAACGGGGTTGAATCATGGACTTTTTTTCAACGATCCCCATTCGTTTTTGTTTTTTGTTTGTTTGTTTTTTTGTTTTTTTCAAATGGCCTTGGCTTGTCTGTCAGCGACAATATTCGTGCAGCCAGTGATTTCAGGGATTGTAGTTTCGACTGTCGGGGTATTCTGTAATTAATCCTTATTATTTTAACAAAGCATGCAGTAACCAATGTTAAAATCTTGAACATATTCTAAGAGATGATCATGATAATAGCGAATAATGGTAGTTTAGCTGAGAGATAATGGGGACCGATGTTCAGCACTTCCAATTACTGTCGCCATTTTGAAACCTTCATTATTTTCCCCAGTTGAATAAGGTCACCCAATAAGCCATTATTTGCGAGTTATATTTGAATAAAATCTTGGACACTGTGTTATCTGATAAACGTAACAACTCGAATTCCCAAGACTAAAGACACTGTTGCTATACCTCGTGATTCGGGGCAAGCTTTTCCATAGCGACCACCGTCTCTGGAATGGACTGGTTCCTTTGTGTTTTTCTTATCCATTGAGAACAGTGTATTTTGCAAGGCGTCTCTTAAGTAACTAAGCAAAACTTGCCCCAAATCAAGAGGTATAGCAACAGTGTTTTTAGTCTGGAGAATTCAAATTATGTTCACGTGAATTTAAACAACTCGGTGTACTAGATTTTATTCAAATCTAAATTGCAAATATACCCAGCAAGATATGGGACGGAGGAGTAATCCCCCCATGTCCAATCCCTATTGTTACCCAACATATCCCCCCCCCATGTCTGTAAAGATTTCCTTAGATTCCGATCACACAATGACCAACTCAAAGGTGGGTGGGGTGCTCTCCGTCCCATATCTTGCGTCATAAGCTCGCAAATGGCTCAGTTACCTATACGAGTTATGATGTCGCTCCATTTGCAGCTGCCACCATACTAAATTATTAGCCAGTCAGCACGGCAGTTTACTTTTATGCCAAATAAGCGAGGCAAAGAATCCGAATTCGATCTTACCTTGAAACTCGCTCCATCATGGGCCGTGGCTTCAAAGTCCCGTGCGTCCAACGAGACGAAATATAATAAGACTCTTGCGAGTTTAATTTGAATAAACTCTGGCACACGGAATTCTTTAAGCTTTGAATTCTCCCTACTACAACCACTGTTGCTACACCTCGTGATTCGGGGTAAGGACGTTTTGCTTTGTTACATCAGAGGCCGCCTTGCAACAATACACTGTTCTCAATAAATCCAAGGGCGCAAAGGAACCAGTCCATTCCGGAGATAGTGGTCGCTATTCAAAAACTTCCCCAAATCATGAGGTATAGCAATAGTGGTCTTAGTACGGCGAATTCAAATTGTTATGTTCACGTGAATTTAATTTAAAGAACACTGTGTACCAGAATTTATTCAAATTTAATTCCCAAAAGGCTTATCCACTGTTAAGTTGTTGGCTAATTCTGTTGACCATTCATCATCTTTATCAGCCGCACTTGCTTGGGAACTGGTGACCAGTGTTTGCACGTAACACTCATCAGCAAAGGACAAGTTTGAGCGACGACAATATATATAGTTGACCTTAGTTTGCTATCTGGTTGACCATTTGGCACCAGGCCGCAGGTCAAGGTCACATCCCTGGTTATCAATAGCCCATTTTCATTTATCAGTATGGTGGGAACCGTTCAAATGAAAATAAGTATACAAGATTTCAATGACCATTGCAGTCAACGGTAAAATGTAAGTAACCATACGATTAAAGAAATAATAAATAAATAAATAAATAAAAATAAGCAAACTAGGCTCGTTCGAGTGTATGTAACAGAAAAGAGTCTGAAAGTTGACCCCTGATGGCACGCTCCCGGAACCTTTGAATAGGAAAAATACCGTGCAAAGATTTTAGAATTCGCAATATTTTTTCGTTCAGTTACTTCTTTAAAAATTTAACTCAGAAAAGGGGCTTTGGAAAATATCTACTAGTATATCAACTTATAAAAACTGAAAAATCACCTGACCTAAAACAGAAATATCCTGCCAAAAATTGACCCTTAACTTCTGAAAATCTAGAATACATGAAGAACAGTGCAATGCAGCAGTCTCGTACACAGATGAATATATACGGTTTGACATTTTATGGTAGTCCGTCGGTAAAAACCGAAATAAAAACAGATCAAGTATTTACACATTTTTATAATTTATAAGTAGTAAAATTAAAGCAATATTCTACTTGAATTACGAAAGATTCTAATCTTTTATCTAATCTTTGCTGACACCAACTGAGTGATGTGAACTCAACGAAATCTGGAACCCATCGACTGCAAGTAGGTAAATCTTTGCAACGTTGTACAATCTCGTTTTCACGTGTGCACGGGCAGTAAAAACAAACGTGCATGAACATGTAGACCTAGGTGCGATATCGCCGGAAGTGAAAAGTCGTTAATAAAATTCGTTTTTTACTTACCTCCATGTGACTTTTCCTATATATTACTTGAGGAAGACAAAGGTAAAATTCCGACATGAGTGTTTCATGGGGTGGTTTCAGTAAGGAATTATTCTTCCAAAAATTATCGAACGTGATAGAACGACCCAACGTAAAATCCCCATAGGAGGACCGCGCGAGGGTTCCGGAAGCTCGCTACGTGACCTTTTACTTTCAGGCTCTACTGCGCATTTGCATTGTTACAATTGACAAGCAACTGACCTCTGGTACGGTTGAACTGTAGTTCAGGCCCGAACTTACTCATCGTGAGTCAAATAATTATTATCGTAGCAAAGCCTCTCATCCATAGCTCTATAAAATGTAGTCCGACTCTACGAATATTCGCCTTTTTAAACACTTGGACATGCATCTCAGTCAATAGTAGAATCCAAGTTCCTTCCATCATACGTTTGCTTCCATGAATTCATTTTATAAAATAGTTTATGCGTTTTCATACCCCCGAATCAAAATACTCCGAATTCACATCCAAAACGGTCCTGAAACTGTCTAATGCGCCCGGCTAAGGATTACGTGAGAACGGGTGGGTGGGTGGGTGGCTGGTCAGTCGGTCGGTTGGTTGGTTGAACATAGGACTAGACAAGCAAATGATATACATGATGTAGCACACCACCAGTGGAGACCATGTGTGTCTCTCCCACTTTCTGGCGCCCGGTGATCTGGCACACCTAGCCAGATCGCCTGGTTAAAATCGTTCGAATAAAATCTTTCAGTCTTTCGCTCTTTCTTCCTTTGTTTTCCGTATTACAAGTATCCCACGACTGTTTTACTAAGCTGTTTAAGATATGAACTTGTAACTTGGAACACGTATCGATCCTGATCCCTAGTGGTGCATATTACCCTAACGTCACCATGACGACATAAGTTTTCTAATTACACACAATTAAAGTTAGGTTTTTTTCTCAAAAAAAACTCTACCGTGAGATTCCCCATCTTGCTTTTTGCGGCAAGTGATATGGTAAATTAGGTATCATTACTGCCGAGAACATCCATTTCCGTGACCCCTGCCGCTTCTAGTCGAAACTGAAAGTGCCGTGTAATTTGAAGCCAGTAATACATACTGATACGAACTTGCATTCAATGGTTTGACTCCAGCAGGATGGAAGTGCACAAAACTTGTAATGGTGACGCCATGGAATACTCGAACGCCCTCTCGCAACAAGTTGAAAAGACAAACACGCATTTCCTTCGATGTTTTTTTGTGGCGAAGTTTTCTGTAATCGAATGACCTTTCATGCAGACAACGCATGTGTGACTTTCAGGCTGATGAATCTATCGGAAGTTACAATGAAAATACCTTTCAATTTTCAAAAAATCGCTAAAGATTCGAGCATGAGAATTTCGACCTTGAATTGCCCTTTAATGATAGAATAAATATTGATATTTAGCAAAGCGGTGGGTCTGCCGTATAGTTAATGTAGTGTTTTTGTTTATCCTGAGGTAGTACTGCAGGAAGAGGTCATGACACCTTGGTAGGGTTGACTTGGCTGGTTAATTTATTCACTGATCCGCACTCTTTCTCGTATAAGAAGAAAACCTACAATGTGACAAAATACATGATTGCAACCTATTAATATTCAGTATTGTAAATCCCTAACAATTGAATGAATGTGACACAATATTACATGTCATTCTGGCACCCTGACATGATACCTATGCCTGTATAGACATAATAAGTACATGTAACGTTACATTTAAGTTTGTCAACATGTCGTGGGCCCACACAGACCCTTAAGAGTGTGTCGTTTCCCTTTTTCAAGGCCACAATAGATCGCTTAATTAACTCAACATAATCTAGCTTACCAACCGATCCTCCCCCTCGATCCAACAACTTATATTTTTGAAGAATAAACTAGGATCCGGGTGATTTGACGTCCGCTGAAAATATAAACGTCTACATATCGCTAGGTTTTGGCGGCAAGTCCAGACGCAAACTAGTCCCGGCAGTAAAACTTTACAGTATTACTACACATACGCCCGTACAGAATTGTCATTCTCCTTAATTTTTGAGTAACAGTCTTAATAAAGATATTGAGCACTTTAATCATATTACTTCTAATTATATTGGAGGTTTACAATCGAAATATAATCAAATTACAACTAAATGTCCCAGAACTTATCCCCTATCACGACCCTAAAAATTAGTATCATGTCGCCCTATTATCAGGGCACCGTTAAAGTTAAAGCACGCCCTCTGTTGGCGGACAAAATCATTCAATGACTATCTTACGGTGGATTTTTATAGTCCAGTCCACCACATTAATTCGGTTGCTCCGCGGATCCGCCAAGTATTAAAAGAGACAATCGGTAACAGGTGTTTGCAGCAATCTGCAGACATAGTGTACACAAGACATGAACTTTGGATGGCTTCAAAAAATTACGTGTCTTGTATCTGCAACTAGACTTGAAATCAAGTCGGTAATTGACTCTCTCGCGACTTTCCCCCTTAGAAGATCCTTAGAAGAGCGAGTGCCCCATGGCGAGCTATTTTTAAACTACAAGCTTGCAGCTGCAAAAGGTCGATCGTGGACAAAACAGACTACATTCTCGTTATTAATCAAACTAATGCTCTCCAGATGTACTTCACTGGTAACTCCATATGCAGCAAGGTATGAGACGGAGAGAACCCCCCCCCCTACTTTGTGTTGTTCATTGTCTCGCAGGAATCTGGGGAATTCCTTTCAGACATCTTGGGGGGATGTGTTAAGTAACAATAGTCTGGAATGTGTATAGGGATTAGACATGTTGGGGGGTACCCCTCGGTCTCATTTCTTGCTGGGTATAGGTAAGTCTCTACCAGTGGCATAACTACGGTGCGAGGGACACATGCGCACGCCCCATCCCTCCCCAGCGAATCTCTTTGCTCCTGCAGGGTGTCCCAACTCCTCAGTTGAAATTCTGAAATGTCTATAAAATTAAAACCTCTGAACGAGCCCAACATTATTTGGCCTCTGTGCACTCCTGGCACTTCGAGGATGTCACGCCAGTTATGTCGTTGCCATCTCCCCTTGATACAAAGCCTGTCATCTTGTAAAAATCAAGATATTAGCAAGCATTCCCCGTACAGAGGAAACTTGGGAACAAGATGAATTTCGAAAAAAAGAGGTCATTTCAAGGGTTCCTGTTTATTCCTTTGGTAAGTTACAGTAAAAGAACGATAAAATTTTCCACGAAAAACGACGATAGCTAGCCATTGCGGTGCAGCTAACGACAAACGCTTAATGACCCAATTTGTACGTGTCCGTACTCGTATCTGCAAGACACAACAGGTACCCGGGTACGTATAAGGTTGTAAAAATTATTTAGTTTCGGCATAACTCGCACGTCCATACTTGATGATGCACGCAGCAACGTAGCAACATTGGTGGCTGATTTCTTCAAAAACAAAATTTATTCAACCCAAATTTAACTCACAGGGATTGCTATCCAAACAAACGCTACTTTAAGCGTCGTGCAAGTAAGATCTTTTTATTTTTAGGAATGCAATTTGGTACCAATGCGGTGTGCAAAACCGAAACTTCATTATGTACCGGTTCCACCAAGTAGCTTCCATACGTCTTCCGCGGGGCTTCTCCGCATATATTACATGTACGTACAACACAGCCTTACGTGATGACGTCATCAGCGAAAAAAATGCAAACGTCATACGCGGGCGCATTTCTATTTGCCGAAACTGTCTATATTAGGCCAAAAAAGTCTCCGGTTTCTGGTCAGCGCGCGTGTCGTCGTAGACCGGTGCGTCGGCAAAATTTAATTTAAAAAAACTATTTTGTATAAAACGATGTCCAGAAGCTGCCAAATCTGCTTGATTGACTGGAATCCAGCTACTGCGTAATTTTGCGTTTTTTAAATGGGGTACGATTGAGTAATATGTTCTCCAACTTGAAAAAAGCGAGTCCCCGTACAACTCATGCAGCTTTTTAGTTTTGGTAGGTTGGCCGAGGATTGAAAAGCGATCAAGGTAGCGGCCTTGGGGTGGGGGGCACCGTGTTAACTTGGGCGTTGTGGTTTCCTGCTGTTCTTCCGCCGCTGGTTGTCATTCAGGACCTGCGCTCATGCATGCGGTTTTACGTTGGCATTCCTGACTGGCAGGTTGGCTAACGTGAAATGTAGAATTTGGAAATTGTGTGTACGCCACAGAAATGGCAAGCAACATAGTTTGTTGCAAATCTCGATTTTTTGGAAATCTTTATGACGCCTAGAAATTGCACTAACGTGTCAATCGGGGTATCCAGATTTCAAACCATGGCCACGTTTCCTCATTTCATACCTGGGCACATCCGTTGTCAATCTCTTGACTTAGTTTTTGAATTTTAATAAATTTAATTCCTTACTCTTGTGATTGATGCCGATCTCCTCTAGCACGCTCAGTAGCTTACGCACTAGGTAGGACTGATCACGTTCGTGGTGGCATTGATTATTGCGTGTGGTACTGGTGCTGGCAAGCTAGCTCGACAGTGCGCTGTGCTTTTTGTTTTTCATTTGAGCTACACCACCCGCCCGCTTGCATCAAAATGAGGGAAGACACACCCACCCTTATGAACAAAGTGCCAACAGCAGCTTGATGCAGTTTTGAGTTGTTGAGGGTCACCTCAGGTGCGGAATGTTGGCGTATAAATTCACACTGGCTGACCTCCTTTCGCCCCCATCCCTGCTAATTTTGGGTGGTGTAACTCACTGAGACACACAGAGCACAGCGCACCGCCTTATTTTTGGTTGTATGGTTGTAGTGGATGTTTTCAAAACATCTCGAAAGCGTTTTACATTTTCATTTGCCGTAGGCCCTAGCCTTACAATGACCATTAGTTTGTTTGCCTTGCGCATGAGCACCGGGCCCCGTTACGGTGTTGCGCATGCTTATGGAGGCCCTAATATAACGGGATTAAGGTTTGTATACACGAATACAACACATTCCACAACGCTTTCCTTTTACTGCTGGGGTGTCCTTGGTTAGAATAAACGATGGAATCTCGATAGAGAAGGAAAAATAGAGTTTCTTTGACCTTTGACCTAGTGTTATTGAGGACGCCCTAACTGTTAGTTCCAAAATTCGAATGGGTTAGATAGGGCTGAAAAATCTTCACAATGAGTCAAAATTACTGTACTCGAGGCATTCCACTGCAGGACAGCTTTTTAAATTCATTTTGTTATCATAAATGTTTTACCCGATCTCAAATACCAGCTTCAACTGCTAATTTATTTTGGAGTAAAGTGCAACACAGGAGTAGGCCTATAGGGAAGTTCCAATTATGCGTGACATGGGTAGCAAGAGCCTGTCGCAAACTGTAAGTTGAATTCTGGGCAAAGTAACTTATCATTGCCTACAACATGATAAACATGTGGGCCTACAACAGTGTAGTTGTTAAAGTGAAATAGCAACACACAATATGCTGCCCAGAAGTCACATATGCAGTCGATCATGCTGTAGTGTAACTATGAGAAGGAAAATATTCACTCACCTCGGCTTTTTTCCACCGCCAAGCCGAACGTCATGCCAGCCAGAAGGCTCACGGCTAGTTGTAAGACGCCACTCGCCATTGTGCCGAAGATTTCTCCGAAGGAATCACAAGCAGAGGGATCGTGGAACGGGACAAAAACAAACCAATTGCGTAAACAGGTCTAAACTCCTCCGTCGAAATGGACGAACAAACAACACGAGTAACCGAGATGTACAACTTCCTAATGATGTGATGTGACGACACACGACTCGGCCGCCAAGCCAAAAACGTTTTTCGCTCAGGTGCTCAGTGTCGGTGAAGATTATGCATACGTGCGAAATGAGCTTGTGCGCGCACGCCAGCATCAAGAATCATGACGTTGCCAGATATGAAACATTGAATTACTAGCCACGCATCACTGGCTTGGAGGTGTGTTGCGATGGAAACATGGTCGATGCATGGGCCCCAAGGTCAATCACACAAAAACCATACCGGGCCCGTCTGCAAGGTGTAATGTTGAAAGCAATGGTGGGAAGTACACAATGCGTGGTTCATCTCATCCAGTCCAATTGTCCTCTTGTCAAACGTTCTCTTCCTGTGTTCGATCTGGTACATGCTCACTGCAGCAAACAGCCCTATTTTAATTAATAAGATAAATTAAAGCATTTTTGTCAATATTTTGATCAAAGTGCTATGCAGCCTTTTCTTATTTCTCAAGCCTATTTTTGAATTTTTTTTTTGTGAAGGCAAAATGGCACACCTCACCTGCTTAAGGGGAATAGGTGTGTAACTTAAATACCGTTGTTTGGATCCAAGGAACTTCTTCAAGTACATACACGACAATTAATGGTGGTCCTCATGACGCACCAAGCCGGCGGTTGCTCAGCTGAAATCACAAATCCGCTTTCAGTTTATCCATTTATAGATCTTAGCTCGCAAAGCTGCCTGACGTTTCCGGACGTCGAGTGCTCCATTGAATACTCCACCGCGGCTGACTTTTGTAGATCTTTTCTGCATGAACATTCAATTGCCGCGTTTAATCCCATGAAGGGTGATTCATCAATCGCAGGCGCCGACACAGGGGGGGTAACATTTTTCCGTAAGGATATCCTGTGAAAAAGGGATCGTCTTCATCATGACATCTGAATAACCCATCGACCAGCATGAAAGGCTGGCGGTGTTACCACGACACAACTTTCATCCACATCCACATTCATACATACCCGCAAATTAAGAAAACCAAAATGACCCATTCGTTCGTTGTTTTACCTCAACTAAATTCTGAAAATGTAAAACATAAGCATTTTTATTAAAAAGGCCGCTGGCTGGAGGAATATCATTTGAAAACAGGCGTAAAAATTACCGCGGGACTTCCTGACCCCAAGCTACGAAGCTCGATTTTGTTCTTAACTGTTATTTTATTTCATGTGTTTCGTTCATGGCTCGTTTTGTTTTATATCTCGCTTTTCTCAAATAGCCTCCATTACTTTTTGGGTGTTTCGTGATATAGGAAAAAGCTGTTTTACAAGCAGGCAGACGCGGAATTTATTGAATGCACTTTGTTTTGAAAACCATAGGACTATAAACCAATAAAGCCATGCCACTTGTGTAGCTGCGCTTGTGCTATTTGAATTTGGCGAGAACAGCACTCAATGTTTCTCTTTGTGGAACTAAACCTAAAATAAAAGAAATAGGCAAATTTGCAAGAAATTACTTTCCTTTCTCAGGAAGCCCCAGAATTTCTTTTATTAGTTCACTTTTTAATCATCTATATATCAAACACAGTGTCAATGAAGTAATTTTCTGTACAATAATAACATAATACATAATATTGGTACACTGATAGATAACATGTTCAAATAAAAATCAGGTCTACTGTACTGCTCATTTTGTGAAACAAAAATACTGTCGGCAATTACGTACGACCTTAAAAATTTAACTTTGCACACACCTTGCATAATCTGTAACGGTTTCCGTTCACGCTGTACAAGTTAGCCGTGTCGTGTTCTATACCTCCTGGCTAATAATATTTTGTGTCCTTATGGACTCTAGTTAATGTACTGTGGTTCCACAGCCAAACCAACACATCACGTTCAGACACAATTTACACATACCACAAAGATTGCAATACGTACACAGTGTTTGTATAGTATAGATACAAGTTAACTATCATACATTTTTAGCCGTAGTATATAACATAACTTATAGTACAGCTGTTTATGTAATCATACTTATTCGTTTCAGAGAGGTTTCGATGTTTTATAAATACGCACGCGAGCAGTCAGTTGCTAAGAGTATACATGTGTAATACAAAACGAAATTGAGTTTAAACAACCGAGGAAAAATTGACAAAAATCATCATTTCCGAGGAAAAATAAAGAAGGTATAAAATCAAATTTGCGTTCTGCATTTGTAGAAATCGTTTCCCTATCACATCGCCCGCAGAATTACGATTCATCAACTAGGCACAAAACACAAGTGCATGGCAGAATTTCCTCTTGCCTCTCTCAGAAATATTCCTCCGCGGATCGGTTTGTGTTAAATTAAACGTTCAAGGTTTCAAAAAGCAGAGTTCTGTTTTGCGTGTGAAAATTATCCTACTTGCGGTGGCGTGCAGTTTTCAACTTCACTTCATAAGTAGACCTTGCAACAGAAGGACTTAAAAGAACTGCACTCCTTTAACGTCTGTTCAAAACTACAAGGAACATAACAGACGAAAAAACTGGACTTTCAACAGAGAGATAAAAGGTCATCGCACAATTCAGTCCCTGGCACGTCTCGATACCAAACACACACACCTGCGCGAGCAATCTCTTGAAATCTTTTGGACGACTTAAAATAAGAAAAAAACTGCACCACTGCACCAGACTCTATGTAGCTTCTTCTGATGATACATTAGGAATATAATAAAATATCTGGTCATATTTTGGCTTTGACAAGTCGGATATCAGCTCCAACAAAACACAATGCAGTAGACTACTGAATGTGTCTCAGACTTTTTGCCTCAGAAAAATGGTAATTAATTTTTCAAGGCAAATTTACTTGTGTTTTAAAGGGCAGAACCAAGTCCCTAGGTTTTCATTTTATTATTGGCGAATAAAACTGAACAATATAAACACACTTTGTATTAACTAATGCTTCTCTAATTCAATAATGACATTAAAGAAAGCGTCTTACTGGCAGTGAATAGGGAAAAGTATACAAAAACTGCGAGCTAAGCCAAAAAATCATAACATATATTATTCATTATAAATAGTATGGAAGCGAAAAATAAAGATTGTTCTTTTTTGGAAATGCCTATACATAAAATATAAGTCATCAGAAAGCCAAACTCACAAGGTAAAAGGATACATAACTTCGAATTTCATTAAAATCAAATAATTTTTTGTCAATTAAATTTCTTCTCAAGTAAAATCGCTAAAAAACGACTACCGATGAGTCAACAGTAGTATTTTGTTATGATTTTGTATTAAAATCTTCAACTCTGACTGGGTTTTGTTCGAACAAGGCAAAACACCGAACAGTGAATGCATGTACATGTACATATACATGTACTGTCGTTTGTAACACATCAAATAAAACCATACATTGACGAAGCAAGGACCTGGTGCTACCAAAGAGCGCCCTCTACCACATGCTGTTTCTTTGAACCACTGGACCAATTTTTTTTTAATACAAGACGTTTGATACTAGTTTTCTGGAGTTAATGGATGGCCAGTGATTGGTATTTTGAATCGCGTGGATCAATCTGTTTCAACCTCAAACTGAAATAATAATACAACAAGACAATCAGATTTTAATAGATGATTTTGAATGTTATCTCTGTATCAAAGATGCCGTGATTCATTTTAAAACATCTTATTTGAATCATGAACGGGAGCAGTCCTATTCTCTTATCTTTGAATTATTTTTTAATGATCGCTGGTTTGACAAATTGCCTGAAACTAGCTTTCCTCTTAAATCTGTGCATCAAATTGACAGGAGGCAACTGAAAAGATTTCACAGGTCATCTGTCTGAACACAAAGTGTATTCTGGCATTAATGAACAGTCAATGACCTTTCTTCCCAGGATAACTGCCAGACAGCTTTCCATTTCTGCATAAGATAAATTATTGTTGGCGGCTTTTTGCAGGCATTAGCCATGCGGTAGACAGTTGCTTATCCAGATTAGAAGAAAAAGGAACCTTTCAAATCATTTCAGCTTGGTACGGTCTTACATACACTGAGCTGAGATAATGCTTCTAATGAAGACATGTGTTTTCCATCAAAAAAAGAATAATCTCTGAAGCATAAATATTGCTTTGCAATTACCAAGGCAATCAAAAGGTGTGTTATTGCAAACAATATGCAAAGACAAATTGCGTTACTGTATCTGTTTGAGTCTTTTTTTACCAAGTAAGCAATGAAAATGGAAGCAGAGGACTCAAAGATGCATAATTCATTTGATCTCTCCGACTTTTCAACAGTTTTCACCAGTTACCTGACCAGCTATTAAGACTTCTCGAGGCTATGAACAAAAATTACCCACAGAGGAAGCTCACTGAGTGTATACAACGCAGCAAAATCTGCATTAATTTGACAAGGCAGGAAAAGAAAAACGAGTGCTCACCCATTCCCAACTAAAGAATGCTGCGGAGAAGGAAGGACTTCGTAAATTACTGCATAAAGCCTGCATAGAAGCTGACAGAAAATGTAGAGCCCCAGTGCAATCCACTCAAAATTCCTTGCGCAGATAACTACCACGCGCGGTAAGGCTGCATCCTAATCTGTTGTCCAGGGCTAGGTCTACACTCCATTGGAAATACAGAGAGATGCTCTCACAACAGACGTAGCCATAGCTCAAGAAGCCCACTTTGGACACAGCCTAAGACTGTCCAGGAAAAAGCTGTGCATGTTCACTGAAGGCCAGGCTGAACAAAAGCATCTCCTTGGTACAATTTTGAACCAAATTCTGGTCACGCTGCAAACAGCCAATGTTATAGAAGATAACACCAGGAAACTCTGCTGCGCTTCCCGAGTACTGTACACGTACCGTGTCAGAGTACCAGCTGCATAGTCCAACAGTGCATTTTTTTTCCAGATGCTCCGCTACAATGCTTGCAAGTCTCTCAAAAGATACAATTTGTCTTTGAAGTGGACAAACTTGGCATTACTGGCATTTAACAACACTTCCACAAGTACTGCTGCTAGCGGACAACTTGCAAATAGAACCGTCTTCACAACATGTGTTTTATATTTTGGCCATTCTAACTTCACCATTCAAATGAAAGGTCTTCAACATTTTGGAAATGTTAAGAAGATGATTGTAATGCATTAGGTCAATGAACAGTGGTTCATGTTTAACATTAGGATGTACTGTGCAAGATTTCAACCTTCATGTGTTGTGCAAATAATTTAATTCATCATGACTTTTGATGCCACTTTCTTATGGAAGGCAGCACAATGTGCAGTTAGGTACTTCTGACATGCTTTCATCGTGGGCGGGGTTCAAAAATTAATGTGAGATGGCGACAGACGTTAACTAGACTTCTGACAGCAATCCGAGTGACTATAATGTGTATTTATCCCAGGCAGAAAGCCACCTTTAATGCAAATGCTATTACTCCAGGGTTGATGACCGAAGATTAATTCATCATGCTGTCCAAATCAAAGGTGAGATCGTTGAACATGGACTCAATGTCGTTGAAGATGTCTTTCGAGTCGACTGGCTCTTGGCTGGCTGGCTCTTGGATGGCTAATGGACTGTAAAATAAGAATGAATGTTCTTAAAAGATTAACAGAAGAGGGAGGAGTCCATGATGGTTACTCTTTAGAAGTGCAGGCGTTAGTTTGAAAGATCTGTGGCTGGGCAAAGGAAAATTGAGTCAACATTTCTGATAAAAAAAGACATTTAACATTAAGGAACCAGTGGGCTCCATCTGACATCATCTGCCCGGTGAAACAAATAATCTTCAGACTGCTGATTAATTACAAGGAGAGTAATGTGAGCGAGGGTGTCCGGCCATTGATAAGGATGACTTCAATCTGATGACAAAAAAATCTGCTGGCATAAGGCTCAACTTACCCAGTCTGAGTGGGCGAGAATGATTTTGTTGGCGACAATCTGGCCTTAGCCGATGCCTCTGCATTGGCAGCAAAGTTAGCCAGTGGGTCCTCTGAGCCCATGCTGTTCAAAATGTCGGCTAGCTGAAGGGAAACTGTTGGTAAAAGAGTTCCGGTAGAAACGGGATCAATCTCACAGGATAACAAGAAACATGACAAGTTGGTCTCAGTAAACACCTCACTTGATGGAAATTTTTATTTTTATGTGCCTAAAAGTCTGCTATCAATCCAATTACCGTACAATTTGGCAACTGGAATGTGGATAAATAAACAGAGTGGCTAATGCTGTCCTCATAATAGAATGGAATACTTCCAGAAAATAATTTTTTTTAAGTATAAGGTATGTACACATAGCAATGAACTAGGTGTGCAATATTTATCCCAGAGCTGTTTACAAAGAGAGTGGTGACATGAGTGTCTTAATTGGCACTAAAATGGTGCAATATGCATCAGTGCACACCAACAATAAGTACTTAATAGCTGTATATTGTACTGTGCACATAATGAACAGCTGTTTTGGTTCTGAAGTCTGAAGTTGGCACTACTCTCTCTCTAAACAGCTCCAATCCTTGCCTGGAATATGTTTATCTCTGACTTTCTAATTACTGTGCTGTGCTAATTTGCAGGTACACGTACCTTCACCAAAGCCTTGCGAGTCTCTCTTCTTCTTGGATGAGGCTGCTTCATCTCGATCTCTCATGACATCGGTCTTGCTCCCTGCTGAGGCTGATTCCCCAATGAAAGGGGCTCTGCCCAAAGTTTCTGGATGGCTCACCTCCGTCTTGGCCCGGGCAGGGCTCAGCTTCATGGGCTGCTTCTTGATGGTGTCTGTGTTCTCATTTTCAAAGCCCGACAGGGCAGACTCCATTGTGTCGCTGCTGTCCGACTCCACAGCGGCGTCCTGTCCACCCAGCGTGTCCATCATGTCCAGATCCTGCGAGTAGAAATCCACATCGTCTGAGTCTTCTAGAGGGGGCGGTGCCACCACGGCTTTCTTTTTCACCGGGGCTTTGACGGCAGCCTTTCCAGTCCTGGACGGTGATTTCACTGATTTCTCAGGCACCTTCACAGGAGCTTTAACAGGGGATTTTTTGCTCTTTTTGTCAACACTTGGACTTTGCTGGGGTTCTATGGACTGTGCACTGGTAGCTGTTGCTTCGGACACATTATCCGGCGGAAGGGACAGGCCAGGCGAGGGGGTGCTTGGTTTCCTCTTAATTGTATCAGAGTTGGACTCCCAACCCTCCGAGACTACAGGTGTCCTGTGCGAGGATTTCTTCTTGCCTGAGCTGGACTTGCTTTTCGGGGCTGTTTGTGGGCCTCCTGCTTGCCTGGACAGTTTCTGTGACACTGGCTGCACTGTCGGTGGAGGTGCTGGGAAGTTGTTGCAGGAGAAAGGGGGGTAAGGAGGTGTGTTGGTCTGCAATGGGGGAGGGGGAGGAAGACCTGCTTCCTCTGGTAGTGGTGGCGGCGGTAGGTCAAATTCTTGAGATGGTGGAGGCGGCAGCGGGAAATCATCATTTGGCGGGGGTGGGGGTAAATCATCCACTGGAGGAGGTGGAGGCATCATTTCTTGCTGAGCTGGGGGTGGGGGTGGCTGGATGGCAGCCTTCATGCGGGGCGCCTTAGGAGACACCTTGGGAGGAAGAACTTGCTGTGGAGAAACCTTCTGAGGGGGGGCTTTGGAGAATGGCTCTTCGGAGGAGGGAGCCTTGGGTGGAGAAGCTTGGGGCTGGGGAGCCTGAGGTGGTGGTGGTGATGCCTGAGGTGGGAGGCTCTGAGGCTTGGGTATCTTTGGAGGTGGCACCTGTGGAGGTGGCACCTGCGGAGGTGGCACCAGCGGAGGTGGCACCTGCGGAGGTGGCACCTTTTTAGGGCCAACACTAGGCGGATGTGGCTGGCTGTTAAGTACTGGTTCATGGAAGCTGCCCTTGTCACTGCCAAGATTCTTAGCACCATAGTTTGAAACGAGTCCTGGAAGGCTGACAGGTTTCTGAGCATGGCCTCCATTATCGGGAAAGGGCATTTTTACAGATGAGTTTTGGGTTTGCATGTTTTGAAAAGAGTTGCCAGAGGTGGGGAAGGAGTCTGAGCCGGGAGGTAGACTCTCAACATTTGTATCAAAGTCTGGCTGCCTTATAGCATCCTCTTTGGCAGCATATGTTTCAAAGTTGACAGGAGCATCTTTGGCCACGGGTGACTGGTTGTACTCATCCATGTCCGTGAAGGACTTGGACCGGGGCCTGAAATCCTCCTCAGAGAAGTTGGGATCAGGCTTCTTAGGAGGTCTTTTCAGGGTGTGGTAGGTGATGGGTGTCGAGTTCTGATCCAAGAACTGCTTCTTCAGCGAGCGGAAAGTGGCTTTGGTCTGGATCTTAAGGTTGCTGCTCTCCCCGTCAGTGGAGAAATCGACCTGGTTCTGGTCCTCCAACTGACTACCGATATCATAGTGGCGCGACTTTGGCCGCCAGATGCCTTCCAGGGGTTTGGAGAGGGCTGGCTGGATGATTGGGGCATTTTCCTCCCCTTCCTGGGACATCCTCTTCCAGAGAAGTTCCATGTTGCCAGGCCGGTCTGATTTGCCGGAGCCGCTGTCTGTGCTTCCACTGCCACCACTTCCTGTGCTTCCTGTTGAGGGAGGTCTCTGAGAGCTGCTGAGTCCTCCCTCTCGCATGTTGACCTCGGCTTGCTGGGCCCTGCTTTGAGTTTGCTTCTCCTGTTCAATATCAACACCCAGCTTGAACCCACCCGAGGAAGGTCTCCGACTGGTGTTTAGAAGCAGCTCACCAGATGCAGGCCTGTTACTGGCCATCCTGGGAGGGAGACCCTGAGGAATTTTGAACGTTCCTCCAGCAGAAGACTGCGACTGGCTATCATCTGACAGCCCACTGGGCTGCCTTTGAGTCGATGCTTTATCGTCAGCCTTGCTTGGCGGCAGCTGAATCGGAACAGCTGCTGACTGCTGAGTATCGCTTGTGGTTGCACTTGGCACATGGAAGGATGATTCTGGAGCACTTTTGACCGAACTCTGGGGGTTTAGTCGTGCGCTTGGGGGCATGCATGCCGCTATGGACTGTTGCATTTCTGCTATCAGTGCAGCGTTTGGTTTTGAAACTGTGGGATTGTGGGAGGGTGTTGAGGATGCTGATGACGGAACAGACGCTGAGACACTGGGTGTCCCCAAATCTCTGGAGTATGGTGTCTGTTGATTGGTCCACGTTGGTTGCTGCATGGTAACAGGGCTTGTAGGCACTGAAGCGCTTCGACTTGGGGTGCTGGTCTGAGAATATGGTCCATATGTCAGGCTAGGCTGCTGCTGCTGATGTACTGGTGTCAGTACGGGTTGGTTAGTGACACCGTAGGCACTATAATTTACTGTCTGTGCTGGTGTCTCATCGATTACCTTGCTGCTGCTGAACATGCTATGATTTGGCTGACTTGGCGCACTAGATGTGACAGCCACACCACTAGCTACACTGTTACCAATGCTTCCTTGAGTGAGCGCAGGTACTGTTGGTGGTACAGGGGGACCAATTGCTACCCCAGAACCCAGAGGTGGAAAGTCCCCTTCTTGAGATGCCGACCTGGTCAACATTTGGGTTTTTCGGGTACCTGATCTCTTGATGGTCGCATATCCCTCAGGAAGCTCTACTTTCTTGTTCATGTTTCCAGCAGCCATCTCTTCTCGGAACTGTTTCAGTGATTTCTTCCGCCCTATCGTGGCCGTTTTCAGCTGTTCCTCATCAACTGTTCTAATTGAGTTAGTCCTCTTGGGCGGGGCAGGGGGATTGGAGCGTTTCATTTTGACAGACCCATCCCCTGAGCCGCTTGATCCTATACTTGATCCACCTTCCACAGAATTCCTTTTTGGTACACCACTAGATGAATCGTAGCCGCTCCCTTGTGCGAGCAGGACCCGCTCCAAGCTATCATTTGATTTCCTGTCTCTGGGCACAGCAGGGATTTTAAATGTTTCCCCAGGTGTTGTTGTGACGGGCGGTTGCTTGAACGTTGAAAATGTCTGCACAGCACTGGGGTTGGGGGCTTTATCTCCCTCCGGGGTCGGTGCTTTGTGCTCAGGCTGCATTCCAGCCGTTACTTTCAAGCTGGTGGGGATGTAGCTGGCCTCCCGGTTCTCTGACAGCTGGCTTAGGTGGACGATCTTCTTTGGGTAAGCCTGCTCATGGGAGCCCTGCGATCCGCTGGACTTGTTGCTACCGTCGCTGCCCAGGCTCTCCTGGCTACTGCGAAGGCCCGGTGGCTTCTTCTTGGCCAGAGTGCTGTCGGGTGACTGTAGCGGGGAGGTGCGCTGGCCGAGCTGGGCCAGCATGAGCGCGTTGGGGTGTGGGTAGTGGTGGTAGGCACCATCGCTAGAGGAGTGCGGGGAGACACTGTCGTTGTCGCTACCGGCACTACCTGCTTGTTGGGCAGATGCCAGAACTTTTGTTGCCTGCTTCTGAAGATCTCGTAACCTCTTGATGGCAAGGCTAAACTTCTTTTGATGACCTGTTAACAAAACACAAAGCCATTTTCAGATGCACGATTTGTAAGAACAGCAAGAACCCAGCCCCAATGAACTGAATGATGAATGAAGAGCCTGGATTACACAATTTTCCTGAATACATTTCTTAAAGATACTCGTTGGAAAATCTACCTTCATTTTCAACCTTTGTTCGACCAATTTAAGGGGGGGGGATTCGGGGCTTCTATGCACTGTTTGCTGCTTAAGATTTCCCCATTCATGAGTAACACGGAGACATCTTTTTGAGCACATACTTCGGTACAATAGCTACTTCATCATCAAAAGTTCCAGAATTTGAGGGTTTTACTGTAATAGTTTCTGCTGTTGACGTTAATTTATTAATTTAGTACAAATAATAATAGTAAGAAAACGAGCAAACATGCACAAATGTTTTCAATGAGGAGCACACTGGGTTCCTAATTTGGACAAAAAGGGCTTAAACTTTGCAGCGTGTGCAACATTGGAACACGGTGTGATATTTGAAATGCAAATGTGCCTTCCACAAAAACTGCGCCGAAAAGGGTTGGCTCAACATTTCCATGTGATGCCGAGCAATGGACATTTCTACATGTTAACCACTTCCTGCCGGGGAGACCGGTTTTGGGTACCGTGTGTTTATACGCATGGCCGGGGTCTCCGAAATCGGACGAAGGGAACTGGGCCTTGTAACAAAAGACCGTACTCGAAACAAAAGACCAGGCCGCTGGGCATTACTGACATTTTTTCACTCTCAATAGTGGAGATAATCCAGCCTTGTTTTGAAACAGTATACCACGGTTAGGGGCATTTCGAGCAAGCAGATTACCACTGGGGACAAAAGCGCTCCTCTACTGCAGTGATGAGACACACAGCACCGCTGCACGCTAATCTGGCCCGTATTGAAAAGAGATCAGCAGTGCACTGGGCCAGGTTCATGAACAAAAGAAAGTTATATAAAACCGCGCAATCTGGGCTCTTTTTACAAGGCTGCAGGCCTGGCTGAAATACTTGGGTGTCAATAGATTTTGTCTGTTAGACTAGAGTGGCCACCTGACAGTAATTCATGTGGGGGTAAACGTCCACTTAATTGAAATGATGCATTTATGAAGAATTTTGAAAACTGAAAATCTTGAACAAGTCCCAATTATGTGCACTGCATTTTTCAAACCACCCGGAAGCAAGTGGTTAAAGAGTGAAATCTGTAGTAAGGAGCCTTTAAACGAGCATCTTGAATGCCTCACCTAATTGGTTGATGCCCATTTCCTGTAAGTCCTCCCATGTGATCTCCGAGACGGCATCCATCGTGTTGTAGTTGTTACTCACAAAGGTGTTGTAGTACTGGTACAAGTCCAGCAATTTCAGCCAGGTGACCACGTCAGTCTGGCGAGAGACCAAAAAGAAACGTTTGACTCGGGCGTGGGTCAGAAATAACAACAGGGGAAGTTCACACTGATAACTGTCTAGTAACATTAAACCCACACCAGAAGAATGACAAGGAAGAACAGGACAAAAATAGCAGGTGGGTTAGGGAAGTATTACCAGCAGGCCTGACTTTGCTTAATTCCCTGCACAATTCTGAGTATATTTCCACCTTCTTCTTTAACCCTAACAGTCCCAAATACTACAAAGTACTACTTTGTGGTAAAATGTAGTACTCAGCCCTGTCGCTTGTAAGAGGACATGACATTATTATTCTCTGAAGCCATAAGATACAATACAATGTACCATACAGTGCTGTGGCACTATGAATGCATGGTTTCATTGTTCTCTGTACGAATAACAATGGAATAAACCTAGCCAGAAATAGTAATTTGTAGCGCTAGGTCCTTCAGGCTCAAAGTGTTACTTAGTATTTTGCGGTACTGAGTACTCTAAGCCAAACAACGCCCGGTACAGTTAGGGTTAGAGGAAGTATAACTTTTTAAAAGGGAAACTGGTGTCACTGGAATAACAGGGAAATAATGTCAGTTTATTGTACTGTTGTAGAACAAATTTAATGTAGTGTGAGAACCAACTGATATCTATAACAATGAAAGGCAGAAACTGAAACTGGGGAACACGACACTTTCTTTCAGATTCGGCCGAGTAAACAATCTAGTGGTTTAAGTTTCAAATTCAGAGTGCAAAATCCAAAACCCGGCCCTCCACTGCAAAGAATCTGCTCTCAAAATAACTCTTTTCACTTGGAATGAACAGCTTGACTTCTCTCAAGACAACTCTGAAATTCCAAAGGGAGTGTATGACTTTTTCAATGAGTATTCTCACTTCAAACCTACCGGCTTGTAATTTGGTATTCCATCAGGCTCGCTGAGCTGGCTTATCATGGCTGATATTCTCTTCCTGTGACCTGGTTTGGTAACTCCAATAGCTGTCAGATCCTGTCATTCAAAACGAGACAATCATTTTGATTTCCAGAGAAAAAGTCCCTTGATGATGAGACACAGATAACAAACCACAATACACAAGTACAAGTGCTCACGTGAGGCATGCAAAAAGTAAACAGCTTAATGTGTGTTTGTCTCCAAATTTCAAGTCAAAGTGTGACCGGAGGCAAACACACATTTTTAGAAGAGCAATCTGAGATCTATGTTTTGACGTATCACTCAGTTTGGTATCCTGATGAATGTGAGCATTATACACATGAAAATAGTAACAATATCAAGGCACTGCATAAGGTGCACAGTCTCTTACAGTATCTGCAATAAGCCTTTTGTGAGTGAAATTTGAATATAGTCTGGTATATATATACTCCATATATTGCTATCCCTCGCGATTCGGGGCAAGCTTTTGCTAAGAGATGCCTTGCACCAATACGCTGTTTTCAGTGGATAAGAAGGGCACAAAGGAACCAGTCCATTCCAGAGGTGGTGGTCGTGATGCGACAGTTTGCCCCGAGTCACAAGGTATAGCAACAGCATCTTTAATCTTGGGAATTCATATTGTTATGTTAATGTGTAATAAGATAACTCAGTGTACCAGATGTTATTCAAATTTAACGCCCAAAAGGCTTATTCAAAGGCGCCAATATATTATCCTTAGTCCTCCACATGCTAATGAGTCCTGTATTGATTTCCACAATGCAAGATTTTATTCAAGTCCAAGTGCTTCAAAAGTGGCTATGCCTTGCAACTTATCTCGTCAGGCTGGGTCACAACTGTTGAGTGCGACAGCTATAATAAGTGACGCACTGAGCAGAAGTCTGAATACTGCTGCCCCGTGTAAGTTGCCTTGAGATAATACGCTGGGCTTACCTCTGGGGTCATTCGCGAGATGGTGGGCATGTCATAACCAGCCTTGGTGAAGTTGTTGGTGTATTCAGGCATGCCTTGTCTCTTCAGCCATTCGTATATCCTGTCAGCATCCTGTAAAGAACAAACAGAACTATCCTCAATTTCAATAATTCAACCACAAAATTAAGCTCTACAATTACAAAACATGAACATTGCCGAACTTTACATGGCTTTGTAAGAGAGAGGCCAGGTTAAAGTTTCACTGTGATTTTCAATTGCCATTTCTCAGGTCTGTAACACTGCTTACAGCGCAATGGGTACGGTCCCTTGCAACAAGGAACACATATGGGCTCATGGCCTCAGACCGGTGCCAGGTAACAAAGACAATGACAAGTTGAGGAGAATGTCGACATAAATGTAAGGCTGGCTGGATAGCTCAGTTGGTGGGGTGAGTGGATCATACATAAGAGAAACTCCAAAGCAAGACTTTTGTACCCATCAACTCAATGGAGAAACAAGCATTGTGACGCCGTTTCTAAATTACTGAGTTACGAATCTGGGACTTCAGTTAAGTTGATCTGGTTTCCAGTTTTCTCGAGTCAGTCGTACAATTGTCTTCCACTAAGCTTGTAAAGTGTACAGACAAAAATCCACTCACGTATGTGTACTGACACGGACACAGAAATGAATGTATGGTCGATACTTTATCAAACCAAACACCCAAAACTATCATGATGATATCCTGTGGCCTACACTCACTGGATGCCACACTGTAGACACAAAAGGTCAAAGGCGCACTGTGCCTTTGACCTCCAAATTATTACAACAAACTTCTCATTTGATTTCTTTACCTTGCCCTTGTACTGAGGTTTGACATCTGGATGCCTCATGATCTCCATCTTGATGTCAGAGGAACCGTCGCTATGGGGACGCTGATTGCCTAGAAAAGAGCCAAGAAAAAAATTTTTAAGAACATATCTAGTCAAAGAAAACTCCCACCCAATCAACTTGAGAACTTGATTGGACAGAACATCACTCAATAAGCAATGAAAACGAAAAGCTTTGCTTCAGACAATCACTACGGACTTTGTAATGTATAGCATACTGACTGGTCAATGTTCAGGCTTTGTGAAAAAAGAAATGCATTTGACTCTTTTGGAGTCGATTTCCTCAGGGTTTTCCTCACAGACAGAGCTCATTGCCAAGATTAATTGCTTCTCTGGTAACTGACATGTGACAGGAGGGGGGATTATGATTTCATCATCCCGCTTTGGCGAAATGATGCGTCAACGCTACAGTGGAAGAACAGTTTTTAATCTTGACGGCCGCTTGAAAGCAACATTGAAATTACAGACTTGTCAGGATGGAAAGATATGACCATAAATCTTTTTTTGGGGGGGGGGAATCAAAATGACAGTGATGATCCTATCACCTTTTCCTGCATCTGTAAGGGCTAGTATCAATGAATTCTTACAAAACAGCTGCATTTAGTTTTTAAAGTAAGGAGAATTAAGGACCAAGGAATTGACAGCTTCTCAGTAGTATAAAGATTCTGCTCTAAGAGAAGATGACACTACGGCAGGAGGCGACTGTACGGATGCAGACAGCAGATGGAATCAAAGCTACGTCAGTTCATAGATGATCTTTCAAGTTCCAACAAGATCACAAATTTCCCTTTAACGTGTCGGTTTCCCTTGCCTGAGGATTTGCTTCTTCACCCCAAGTCACTATTTATTGTGCCCACCAAGAAGACAAAATGTCCCGGTGCCACAAACAACAGTCACGTCGCCTTGATTGCCAATTTCCGTTGGTTTCTTGATGTCAGCCTCAATGCAAGCAACAGAGGGACAAACATGTTTAAAGAGCTGTAGGTGTGTCAAAATGTGGCCCTTATTCAGTTTTCATTAACAAGTAAAAAATGTGATGGACTGCTGATAACTGCTTCTAAATGAATGGTCTGCCAACATGTAAATGAACACGTGGTTCATTGAAGTGACTTTTGCCTCAAAATGGATTAGGTATCTTAAAGGCCAAATGTAGGCAAGTTTTATAATATCTCCAATTTTGATTTGATATAGTAGTCATGTAGTAGTCATCTTTATTAAATGTACATGTCCACCATCGATCACTAATAGTTTTCATATTTTGCTTACACTTCACAAAACTAACATACTTTCAACAGCAATTTACCAAAAAAAATCCTTGTTTATTCTATTTTTTCATCCTCCTGAACATGCCCCTTTAATACTAAGAGCCCAAACTTCTTGGAGATCATCAGGGAGCACTGGAGAATCTTATTAGACGTTGATCTGCCTCGGGGCGTACTCAATTAAATCTCAAGACTGCTCAATTGTTTTAAAAAACCTCCAAGGAGCCAGTAGGAATCAAGGTTCCTGCTTCCCGGGGAGAGGAAGGGAACGGAGAGAGAGTGTAAACAGGGAACTGTACTGATCTGCTCCCTTAGAACGGATGTTGCAGGGCCCATGCTTGATGGCCCGGAGATTTCAAGAGGGGTTTTCAAAAATATGGCTGATGAGCGGAACACACAAGTGACACAGTATCATATAAAGCTCGTGTCCGATCTTCAATAAATGTTTCCTTCACTACGATTTCACTTTTGTCAGATAGAACGGGCCCAAATTCACACTGGCTGTTTTACTCATGATCACCTCCATAAAACATTTCTGATATAATGAAACTCGCATTTTCAAGCTTACATGTACATGTTTATGGTGGCCACATCTCTCTACACTGCACAAACACAACACTACACTCGGGCATTTTATACTGTGGACACTGCTATTGACTCCAACATGTGTACAACATTTTTCTGCACCATCGAGTACTTTGGACCCACACATCAATACAGCCGTAACGTCTGTATCAAAATGGCAGTAACCAGAAGAAAATCGCACAAGCCGCTTCTGATGAATGACGTTTGCGCCATCAAAAGAAAACAGAAATGTCAAAATTATGATTTCAGTCCCATTCCATAGGGCTTTGAAATTGACGAATGCCCTGCAAAGGTAATACCGAGCACTTGGTGCTGATAAAAATGACCCAAGCGAAGGACTGATATGCCGATGGCTCCAAACAAAGCACAGCTGTTCTTCTTCCTTTATACAATAACCTTGCTTTTTTGGCATACTCCATCTCAAATGGCTAATTATCTAAAATGTTGACCAATGTCTCCCTGCCAGTGGGGGGAGAGGGGGAAAGATACCAATCTCAGCTCTCTCTCTCACCTGCCAGAGATCTGAGGGTGTCCTTGTCACCGAGGACGTTCTCAAAGCTGCGGAAGGGTTGGGAGTACGCCAGTGGCTTGGTGCTGACATTCATGTGGATGGTTGGCGCATTGCCGGGAGTGCGTATGCCACCGTAGCTCTGAACACAAGTCCATACAATCAGCAAAACGTTAACAACAAAATTCTGCTTTTCAGATATTTCAATCTCACTGAAATTTTCTGATGGAAATGATAAAACTGAAGCTTTTGGCAGGAGATGAAAGGTACCCAAATTCGAAGTAATCTTTTAAAACGCTTTCAAAAGTAACGCATTACCACACTTCAAATTTATTGGAAACATGACAATGTTGGCCAGAAAATTTGTTAATTTTGATTTTGAATGCACTGACAGAGGTAGATCCAATTCAGAAGGCAAAAGTGACACAAACATTGCTAAATTTTTTGGGGGGCGGGTGAAAACATAAACTTTTGTATATTTTTGCATTTGCATAAAAAAGAGAAGTGAATTAAAAATGGTAGCTTGGAAAGCAATGAAGAGCAATATATTAGCATAACTTGATAATCCAATGATAAAGAGTTTTTTCTTTTTAAACTGAATAAATTGAAAACACTTTTTGCAAAAGTGACATTCTCCACAACTGAAAAGCAGATTGTTTACTGTTATTTTCAATTTTGATTAGTCCCGTGTAAATGTATAAACAGGTCAGTTTTAATGCCGTGTGACTGAAACCCGTAACCTGAAACCTGAGATGCAATGATCAGGCACCGAAGGCAAAAAGAGGAAGTCTGTGAAGTCTTCAGCTTGCTCTGAAATGCTAACCCTTTTCTCCATGCTTTCAGTGGATGAGCTTACATCGACACCGCTCTCCTCCCCAGAATTATCCAGGTTGGCCTGGCCGCCGCCTCCTTGCTTCAGCCAGATGCCGTTCTCGTGCTGCTGAACCCCGTCCGGATGCAGTCGCCGCGGCGACAGAGGATGCTGGGGGGTCATCGCATGGTAGTAGGACTGATCATCTGAGCGACGGCAAGGGGGAAATCAAGAACTCATTTCTCTGGTCTACACATAACCATCGAATCTCAGGATTGCACTGAATTTTTTTTCAAACAAACAATTTATTTTTTCTGCTTAACAAATGCTCCGGATCAGAGTTTCACGATTAACTGGTATCACTGTTCAGGAGAACAATCAAACTTACGCGTTGGTGAAGGTATATGGTGCGGGCTACCAGCCATTGCCCTGGGTGGACTACCAACCATGTTGCTATGGTAATGATCCGTTGCTGGAGGAAACTAATAATCAGAAAAGAGACATTTTGATAGATTTTAAGCTATGTGTACAGCTTTGGCTATTTGATAAACCACTTTCTACATGCCAACACTGAAGTGTTTGACAGGTGTTGAGCTTGGGGAATTTAGACTTTTTCTACAGCAGTCTAATATTTAAAAAAAGGGCCACAGTCAAACAATGTAAAAATCGTACACTGCAATTGCAACATTTGCCTTTTTTTTCTTCTTCTGGGAAACAGCATCCAGATCTGACCTGAACATCGCAACTGAAAAGTCTACTAGATATGTAAACAGGGAGGGGGGATGGGGAATTTACTAACCGGCTTGTCCTGTGGCATCCCATAGGGGATGGAGCCGTTCATGGGCTGAAGGGGTGGAGGCTGGGGTGGCGAGAACGCTGCATTGCTGCTGGGTGGATGGTAGTAGCCGTGCTTGAAGGGCTGGCCGTGCATCGGATCAACGCTGTCTGGAGAATCCACAATTACGGCACAGACTTTATCAATGCAACCCCGGTGAGGATTCTGTCAATCTCAACATCTATAATCTCAACAATCAAGTCTGCCACCTTGAGGGGTGGCCGGTATTTGCTCAAATTGCTTTCTTAAAGGTACAATGTTTGAAACATCCAAAATACGGAAAAACAAATACACAATATGCAGTGGTAATGCAGGTCTTTTGTACATGCGAACTGGTTGAGCTGTAATTTCTAATTCATCAAAGAATACTTCATGGAGAGCTAATCAAGACATTTGACAAATTTTAAAACACTGAAAGTAAATTCACAGATTCCTTTTTGACAAACGTCAAAGCGGATTAGTGCATTTATATCAAAAATGCAAGTGAACTTCAAGTAAGCGTGAATTACATGTTGGAGTCTGACCCATTATATCACCACAGTTTAAGTCTACGCTTAGGTTACTTGGAAAAGAGCATTGTCATTAGCAATGCAAATGTAGGACACATCAACAGACTGGGCATTTTCTTTCCAAAGAACTCCACTTCCGCGCATCAATTTGTTCAAACCGCGAGTGAAGTTCGACTGAAAAGGAAGTTATCAGCAGCGCCCACAAATACCATCAAAAAATGACTGATGAGATTAGCTCACTTGTTTCTTTATAAATGCCACTTTGATAAGAAACAGTCCTTTTTGATCATTCTCACTGCTCGTTAACAACTGTCTGACATTTCACGGCAAAGTTCAGCCACGCAGAAGTCCCGTCATCTATTAACCAAGCTGCCGACAGCCCACACTTCATTCATCATACTCCTTGTTTTTAAAAGGTTGTTGAAACTCTGTTTGATTTATAGGCATTCACTTCCATGGTGACTTCTCACCCCAAAATTGAATGCTAGAAATCCCTGTTGGTTTCTTTTTTCCAGTTCAATTTCAGTTCAACCTGGGGACACCTCTCCAACATGCCTAACTGGAAGCCCATTTCAAAAAACATATGTTCGCAATCAAAAGACACACTTTAGGAACTGTCATTAATTCCCGAACTTGCAACAGTGCAATTTTTCTCCTTAATTCAAAGATGCATCAAGCTTCACCTAAAATCAAGTGCAGCCTCGGTACCAGAGTGGCTAGGGCTGAACCTATCTCACCCCTGCAAAATCCTCCAAAAAACTCACGTACTCCAGGAGGATTTAGGTGGGTCTGAAACATTTGAATGTTGTGGCTATGGCTCAGAAAAACACATGTGCCTATGGCAGCTGCTCACTAGTGGCTGAAGCCACTTCCCATAGACACGAATTATTCTGAGCCGTAGCCAGTTGTTTTCAACAAAGCCACAAAGACGCATACACACGATGGTACAACAGAACGGCCTACATGTACTAGTGTTCCAATGAAAATGAAAGCCTTTCGCCTGAGGTTTCAGAAATGTTGAAAAAGTAACAGCTCAGGAAATTGCAAACACAATGTCCTTTTCCTGTTTTGCACAGGGCAAATGCTACTGTGACAAGAATGTGACCGAAGGCTGGCTTGAAGTTCATGTGTGTGTATGTGTGCATATACGTGTACAATGTTTGTACAAGAAGACACCAGGCATTTATGTAGGACGAGTGCAAATCAGCCTGTAAGCCTAAATATTCACAATTTACAACTTCTTGTATAAATCAGTTTTACTTGCATTTTTTTTCTAGTCAAAGTTTTCATTTGAGAGGTAAAGCCTTTAGTTTTCAAAATGTTAGAAGCAGAACGTGTATGCTTAGCAGTGAATGGTAATTGTTAAGCATGCACCTCGATATTGACTGGGACTAAGATGGTGTTACAACCACAATCAGGAATTCAAACAGTACTGCACTATTTCAACACAACTACAAAGCTCTCACTGCGGCAGGTTATCTGGAGTTTCTGGTGTCACAAGGAGAAGTTTGAGTGAATTTGTGGAACTTAAAATACATTTCAACTCTGCCAAATTTTGCCTTAGACTCGCTTCATATTCGCATGAACAGTGAAGCATGTCTCCCAATGTCAGCATATCTACCCCTGTCCAATGCCCTATTCATTCCTATTTAAGCTTTACTACATACACCCCCCATAACCTTGTAAAAAAAAAAGGCTTTGCAAACCAACTTGTGATCCTGCTTTTGCTTTTAAGTAATGGCTGAATCATTAACTTGCTATATGCATGTAACTAGCAATTACAGAGGACTAAATAGCAAGCTTAACCGTTACCTATGTCACCCATGTTAAGTTTCCCTGGTAACCAACAGCACTACCGCAAAGCATTAGTTACCCTTTAAGCTCACCTCTGTTAGACCAGTTACCGGAAGAGCTAGCGGACGTGGTGGAGTCCGAGGAGTAGCGATTGTTAGTAGTGTCTACGAGAACGTTACTGGAAGGAGAGGTTAGACTGCCTGGCATACTTGACAAGGGGGTGCTGCCATGAGGGTACGACTGGCCTGTGGGGAGGGGGAGCCCTAATGACGAAAGGGAGGGGAAGACAAGAAAGATCGAGAGACAAAAAGAGAGAGAGAGAAAAATAAAAAAACCTGTAAACACGAGATAATTCCAGTCGGTATAATGCCTGCATAATATTAAACACTTGGTCTCATTGGCTCCTGTGCATGAAGCTCTGAGGGCGCTCTATCCACAGAAGGCTAGTGAAAGCACTTTCACCGATCAGATGTAAACCATTTGGGGCAAGGCAAAGGCAAGACCATGTTAGAGCTAATACCGATACATGTACATGATGTAAAGTGCAGGAAGTCTGCACAGTGAAGTGTGCTTTGCACTGTTGGCCCTCACATACCAGTCATTTTCAAACTTTAACTGCTTGAAGGCCACCGCATACACAGAGTTGATGGAAAAAAGATACCGGCAGAATGTCCGCATTTCTTTTTTCTCTTTTTTCAGTAGTATAAGCCTAAAACTACACATGTGTAAGTGTTTGTGCATACATGTTATCGATTCTGTTCCAACACAAAATAAAATTCAATTTTATTACGCACAAAAATTTCAGGCACTTTACATATTGAAGTCTAATCGTCGACACAAGGATCAATGTACTTTTGCATTCGAGGGCTCACTGAAATGAGACAGTAATTAAACTGGACAACAGAAGGCTACACAGCCGCACACACTGACTGAAATTAATAGCCATGCAAACTTCCACTCAGAGAAGATACACGTAGTACATGTACCAGCAAAAAAAAAAATCATTACCCACTTCTGCTGTTTTTTTCTGAGGGCATCAAATGCTAACTGGTAGTCAGACCATCTGTGATAAAATGCTATATGTACTTCACACGCCAGAATCCAACGCAACCAGCCTGCCAGTTTCCAAGGATACACTGCATAGTACCTGTGTGCCTCTTTTAAAAATGTTTTCAATGTGTTCTGGCTACATCAAAAATATGATCTGGGTACCTTTAATAGGTCTCATTAATGACTACTCATGCCCCTTCCAGAGAAGGCATTATTCATATAAACCAATAGATGAGGTCACAGGTCCTTTCATGCATCAAACCATTTAGCCTGTCTTTGGCGAGACAGACAGCTATCTAGGTAACATTGAAATGATAGCAATGATGACACAACTTGGTGTCGCCGATTAGTAGCAACGGTCACAGCTGCGATGAACACGGCAATATGAGGAAGGAAAATGCATCAGACAAACCGGCACCAGAAAGACAACAGCCCGCGCATATGTCATCAGCAAAATGTATGTTCGTTCTAAGGGGGCGTGCTACTGCAAGTGTCATGTACCAGTAATGGTCACATGGCAAAAGTGCCACAGCAAAAGCCTGTATCACTTAAGTGACAGTGTTGACAGAATTCACAAGCCTGGCACATGATACGATGTTAACTCTGATCACACATAAGGGATTTCCTTTGATAACAAAGCAACCAGACAGACCCTCAAATTTGTCACACCTGACACACCATGGTCTTCTCGCTTGCTCGTGTTGACTGCTCTACTATGAAGCTATCGACACAAGCATACTTTGCCAGTTTGCCTGACAGAGGCACTGTCACTATCTTGAACAATCAAATATAAGCAAAGCAGTGCAATTCGGCCCGCAACTGATGCAATCATGCATCTTGTCATTTCAACAGCAATTTACACTCTAAGCATATGGCGTTTGAGGCACTCAGGTAACTGCAGTTTATTTGTGTGGCCATTAATCTGATTTATTAACCCAGTGATTCCCTCCTCCCCAAAGAACTTCACTGTATGAAGCCAAGGAGGCCATGTGAAACAAACGCACGGACGCATTCAAATGAATTTATTCTGGGTTTCATTTACTCCTGTTCTGCCCCAAATCACTGTAAACTAACATAAGAAGTACATTGTTGCCTGCAAAAAATGCCTCAGCAGACAGATTCACTGAGCATGATGATGGATGACTCGTTAAATCATACATAAAGCACAGTGACTCTCCACTGGTATTAAAGATTACTAAAAAATGCAAAGCAACCTGCATGTACATGTCTATGTACATCATAGACAAACCAAAGCACAGTACCCCATCCTTTGACTTCACCGAGCCACTTATCTTGCAAAGCAGCCCTGCATTCAATAATGAGTGCTTCACAAGTGGTTACTTACATGTACATGTACATGTATGAAGAAACTTCAAATCCAAGCCTGTTTCCCACTGTTCTGATGCAATGATTCAACTGTTAGAAATCCACACATGTGCAAAATGCAACCCGCTTCCATTCACATAAATAGATATAAAGTTCCCTTGCAATAATAACAATAAACACCTGATGTAGAGTACATTTATATCACGTGTCTCATCTATTCATGGGGCAATGAATAGATGATATACTTCCAAATTGGCAGTAAAATATCAACATGTATATCAATAAAATTACAAGACATACACAGCCTAATGCCAATAGCTTAGCGATTTATTGCTCAGGGCATGTCATATTTTACAGAAATAATTCTTACTTTTCTTGTATCGATTCGAGTGTCAAAACACTGAATTAACATAAGAATAAAACAAAATTTTGCTGCATCTATAAATCCACTCTGGGACATTCTGAGGTGCTGTTGGTTTTTGGTTTTGAGGAGGTAAACGTCATCCTTTGCCTGAAGCAAATATGCGAATTCATTTTGTGGTCCTTGGCTGAAGTGACCAACAACCTGCTGTGGTATATTTGTGGATCAATGACTCGCCTCACGTTTTGTAAGCAGCTGGCCCAAGCCACGAAGTGGTCTGTATCGTGACGTGAATGCTGCATGCGATGTGGAGAGTGTGTCCTTTTTTGAGCTGAAGAGCTACTTGTACAATAACCATTCCCGCTGAACCGTCCCATGTACACCCAATGCTGTTTGGACTTTGGACTCATTGGCTTCAGTACAGAAATTATCAGTGTTGCCTAAAAGCAGTGCATGTTGTCTGTCTATATCTTACGTACAAGCAATGAATGTAATAAATGTATGGTGTACTTTGTAAACACTTTGCTGGGGGCTGAAAATATGACTGTCTCATTTGATCATCTTAAACAGCTCAGGTGATTACTTACTGTTAGACAGCAACGGGAACCCCCACAATGAGGAAATCTAAAGCTCTATGACCTTTTCCTACACTGCTTTTTCTCTTTAATGGCAAGTTTAAAGACGGGGAAATCTGCTTGTCTGAGGGAAACTCACATGCCTGACAGTGGCAGTGCCCAAACCATCTGAGAATTCTGCTGGAATTCTGATGGCTGTGCAATGAAGGAATGGGAATAAGAAAGGAACAAACAAACCTCCAGCCACAGAGGTAGCAAGACGGAGTCACCCCCCCCCACACACACACATTGTAGTCTAGAATGTGAAAGGGCCATTCCTTGAAACACCTGATCCTCTGCACAGCTGAAGCCAATTTATTTTTTTCAAATTTCAACTGAGCAAACCACAACAAAGATTGTAGCACATCGCAGGAATGAAAGAGGGCAAACCACTACTAAACAAAGCCCAGTTTGTAATTCCTGGATACAAATTCGGGAAGTCCCCCGCTCAAATTCCACAAAGTCTTGTGCCGATTCTCTGTTTTATTAGTCCGACTGCTGGTAATTTGACCTCGTAATTTTTTTGGAAGAATCCTTTTTATTATCTATTATCAAATTTTTTTCACTACCTAACTCAAGCATCCTTCATTTATATCATTCATATGTATGAAGAGAAAAATACCCTTTTTCAAATTGTCCAGCTTCAGTGAAAAATCTCGGCTGCGGACTCCCTCAAAGCGTTCGATGTTCACAGCCACCGCTACACTGGTTGATGCTCTGCATTAACCATCAAGTGTGCATGATTGGATAATGTTTAATTCCTCGGGACAATTTCGATGGGACACAGCCGACATCTGAATTGGAGCCTGACAATACCATCGCGCCTTCAGAACAGGTCATCATTTTGAAGGCTTGGACTGATTTGGCGTCGCAAATAAATAAGTTCACCTCCAACGACCAAGATTTCGAGATTTGTCTCAAAAAATGCAGTTAAATATCAAATGGGAACAGGAGGCATATTTATTATCCCCCTCGTGACACTAGCAAAACATTCCGTCATCATCCACATCTGCATCAGTAACGATCATTTAATTTTAACCCCGTATCAAATTTTGCAACAAACCAAATTACACAGTGCTGTTGCCTATGGGTAAAAATTGCACTATACCATGGCATTAGGTTATTTTCACAACTGGGGAAAGCCAGAATTAATGCATACAGAATATCATGCGTTAATATCCTTTGCCAAAGGCACTGTCCGTATACAGTGTCAATGAGAAATTCATGCAACAGCCAGGCAAGGGGCAACGACTGGCATATATTTAGAACCATCTTAAGGTCAGATATGTGAGTCTTGGTCCCTTAAGTGCAGATGTTTTGGCAATCACGGTAATTATTCCGTCTAGGTATTAGAAACTGAACAAAGCTCAGGGATCATATGGTACAGCTGAGATGATATGAGTAGTGAGCCACCGAGGTCATGTTGTAACAGAACCATATAAAAGGTTTCAGATATCATCTTGGTTTAAATTTTGGATTGTTTTTGTCCTCCATTTAGGTTTGACGACACGAATTTCCCGACCATCTCAAGTGACATTTTAAAACGTACTCATACATGTACATGTAAGTAAATTTACCTGTGCTAGTAGGTGAAGTACTTGCATAACTGAATGTGCTCTGTTGGCCTATGGAACCTGCATACAAAAACGAGGGGGAAAATACAAAATCATTTACAGCCAAAGCATAAAACCCAAGGACAGGCAGGTACAGGGCAGATCCTGAAAAGTTCAATTTTTTAGTACATGTACTTCGTGTTGTGCAAATACAGGCCGGGGGGGTACAAACTAGACAACCTGGTTCAGTCCGCCCTGATTCCATATTTGGTCATTCTGAATTCTCTGAGGGATGTTTACACTCAAGACAAAGACAATCTGCATGGATGGGGTCAGAAGGTGAAGTCGTGATGAAATGAGCTTCAAAAGGGGCTACTTGTAGGTGCTTTGAACCAGTCTGTGTCTATCCCATATTGGGACATCCACTATTTGACAGGTGCCAGGGAAGAATGTCATGGTCCCCTTGATGCAAGGTTTAACATCAGGGAAAAACAAATACCAGCACTGATTTATAAGTACAAGTACATTGGCCAAGGGTAAAACCATATGTTCCAAAAGGAATGCTTTTTCAAGAGACTAAAGTCTGAAGTGGCGAGCATTGGAATTTATCAGTTCAAGTGTTACCATTAGGACACACTACGCTGTCATTAAAACTGATCACACATCTACAGTGCATTCATATTCATAACAGTTTAGTGTAAATGTATACTGTACATGTAGCCAGGTGGTAGGACGGAAGACATTTTCCAATGTGGATATACATGTACATGAATAAGGATCTCAGATGTGGACCAACATGTATCTAGTTACACCCTGCACACTAGCTGCAATAAATGACACACTGGTACACTACAATAAACCCCATTCATTGCCTAAACCTAATCACTTCAATTATGGATTACACACTGCAAAGGAAACATGACTCTGCAACCTTCCCTTTACATGGCACAAATACTGGCCGACCGACTGACTGCGACTGCTTTGGAATCCTATCCCCAGAAGCACCATTTGAGAGAACATCACAAAATCACCATCTAATAGTACACAGTAGCTTCCATGAAAGCTTGAGAAGCAAAATGAAATTACTGTTTACGTGTGTGTACACACACTATCAGAGATCCAGATAAGTGGAGGCATCACACCTGATAGTCAAATTGAAGTAATTTCTTCCCTCCTTCGGAAGTAAAATGTACATTGACAGCTTGTTTTCTAACGTGCTAACAAAAATGGGGCTTGTCATCTTAATAAGATTTTGGACTGGGTACATGTACATGTATGCTAGATAGAATGGAATCTTAACCTGTAATGCCACTTGCATGTACTGTACAACCAGTCATTATATAACTGCATTACATGTACAATGTACCGGTGTATAATATCAAAACTGATGGCAAACAGGTCACAGATTGGTAACAAAAAAAAAGCTCAAAAATAACACTCACACATACATGTAGCGTGATTAATACGCAGAAGTATACTCATAGCAAATGGAAGTTGAACCAATCAAATTTTCCAACTCTGTGACAAGATATGCATCATGTTTCAAAACAAAAGGTGACTTTAAAAATGCTTCTTCTACTTGGAAATGGATTGAATGAGTCACAATGAGTGGAAGGGGTTAAGCACGAACATGCTCCCAATGTATGGGCAACTGTAAACCATAGTTGTCCGACATGTACATGTAGATTAATAAAAGGGACCAAACACCTTTCATTAACTGTATCATTTACATGGCAAATTGTAATGACAATCAGAGACATGGAACAATTTTTAACACCGAGCGTTGAAGCAGCGTCATGCATGCATAATGCCTATGATGCTTGATTAAATGGATGCTCATACTTTTACAATGCACTGCAGTTCGGAGACGGGCATCTGGCTGGAATTCTACAACATGTGCTTTTCTCATGACATTAGTCATACTGCGTGACTACTCCCGGATTTCATTTTTCTGCAAAACAGCGTACGGCACATAACTTAAGACGTCCCTGAATCGTGAAGTACATGTTTATAAAAACACTGAGACATATCATGCACTGGGCTATCAATCTCATTAAAGATACGTCTAGGTCTACGATAGTACAGCTTTGCCCGAAGCCAATCGGGCTTGTACAGTACGTGTAGTTGGCGTAGCAGGTCTGGCCTAGCCATTGCTGGGACATCTGGACAGTGTTTTTGTTTCATAAATTTATTAAACATTAAACAGATCGCTCATACATTTCAAAACAGTGCGGTGGACGGGATATCAGCTTAAAGGTGAGGGTAATGGATAGTCACAGGGCTTGTAAAAGGCCTCACATAAATGTAGCACAAGTTGATAAACACTGCTTGTTTGGCAGATGACTACTTAACTGAACATTTTACACAAGGCAGTTTCCTCTGCACTGCAGGATAAGTGACTAACGACCTCTCCATACAGGTAGTTTCCTAGAACGATTTAGGAAAAGGAATGCGCATTCTCATCTCCACAACTGTAGAAAATGTCAATTCCCCATGTTTTTACCAAACATCCTTTGTTTGCTACAGAACTGACGGTATGATGTGTATTTAGGTTTATGCACAAACTGCGAGGAAGGCACAGCAGCATGTCTCAGCCCTGCTTGCTAAAAGGATGAAGCCAAGAAGTTGACAGAAGGTAGAGACACGCCACACAGCCTGTTTTCCGCGAAGAGCAGTGCACGGATAATGAACAACGGGGTAATGATAATTTAACATATTCTGTGTGTATTTCACTACCATAGTACATGTAACACCCAACATCAAGGAAGTCTCTCTGCTTCAATACCTTTGCCTGAGAACTACATGAACCAACATGTAACACCTGTGAGGCGTGGTCCACTTGCTGACAGTGACAGCTTTGGCCGATGTTCCAAAAGTTCATAAATGTACATATAAACAGATGGAAGGCCATCATTTACATTTTCAGCGACTCAGGTGAGCAACCTTCCATGCAAAGTGCAGAAATGTTTTGCCGACATTTATAGTGCACGGGTCTACAATTACCAGAGTACTGTGAGCACTATGCAGAACACATCAAACTCATTAAAGGCTCTTAGGAAAAATTCAACTGACTCGTACATGTACATGTGCATACATGTACACACAAAGGTATATGTAATACACATGTACGTATTTGGTTGGTAGCAGCAATTTCAAAATGCTCCCATTTGCTGTAAAAGCCTATAGAGTACTGAAAGTGAATACGTCACGCCCACAACAATGTGTGTAAAAGACATCAGTGCAAGAACCAGTGCATAAACCAACCTGCAAGTGTACTCCATTTGTCTGCACTTTACTTCCATTTTGGCACTCAATACAAGTACTTTAAAAAAGGGTAAACTAGCACTTTAAGTAACAGTATGTTATACCTGTAGCAATGCACTATAGAACTCCTTGACAGAAGACAACCTCCAATCTTGCCCACATCAATGTTGTAGACAGGGAAATAATTACCTCCTGGCTGAAATACATCAGGTAATCTCCACGCTTTCACACTCCCTCATCAACGGCACGACCAGACAACGCCTCACCTCTTGCTATTCTCTCGGTCAGCAGTGACTACACCATCTCCTCGGTGGTGCTCAGAGTGAATTACCTCTCAAGCCCACAGAATCTTCAGGACATACGGTAATCTCCCGAGCTGATTACAGTCATCCACTACGTCACCCCCCCTTCCACAACAAGCCTGGCCGCTCTTTTATTCCTAATGAAACCGCAGTCTGCATTCATCCCAGATGACTTTTTAGCTGGTTCAAGAGGCCAGTGCGGCTCAGTTGATTATTGATCACAAATGAGGGGTGGGGGAATAGTAAATAAAGGGGGTGCATAATTCCCTTACAAATAGGTAATACTATCCTTTCCTGCAATTTATGGAAACCTCTTCAAAACATGACTTTGGGATGACATCCGACAGCATTTAAATTTCCATGTCAGTAAACGTGAAGCACCAAAACTATTAAAAAGAATTCTGGAGGTAAATTTCTCTCTATTTTTACCACAATTGAGACATAAAAATCTTCTTTCAGATGCATAAAAAAAGTTGAACCTTGCACACAGCCATTCAGACGGAAATCCTCCAGTAACTGCTGGATTCCAGAAAGTTCTGCACAGTAATGCAGAGGACATTTCAGGATTTACAGGCATAATAGTGGAAACAGAAAATTCCAATTCCTCGAGAAATCCCCACAATTCCGGGTCCCCATCCTCATGTTACCCTGCACAACGTAGACTGACATCTGAACTGTTCTTCTCCCAGCAGACTGTGGCAAGTCTACACTGACTGAGTCAATGATGATATTCTATCCTCTATGCCACACATATGCTTTACACACCACCCGTCACCCTAGAGATTGTTCCCTCGCATTCAAGGTGCGCCGACAAAATCCTCGTATAATCAACGGAACAATTCCCAGCAAGCTGGGTTTTGGGTAACAGCAGCAGAGGTTGTTCTTGGCAGTGTAAGATTTCATCCTTCTTACAGCCTCTTGCACTTTTAGAAGCCAACCCCTCATAAAGAAAGACACAAGAAATCTGGATGATGCCAGCTAGATAATTTTAACGGACTTTTCAACTTTTTTGTTTTGACACCATAAAAATTAACGAACTATGAAATATGCTTTCAATGCTTCTCATTCACAGCTTAAATGTATCTTTCAAAAGCAGCAAAATAAATCCCCAGGAATAAAACAGAGTCAAATATGGGATCACAACTTCTCCCAAAATCTTGCCATCAAACTTTTGCCATTTTACTAGCAATTCACACAAATTGTGAGAAAAGAAAATAGATCAATTTTCAATTTGTCACCCACAACCATTTCATGAAAAAAACTAAAAATCTTCTCAAAAACTGACTTTCTCCAGGACTCCAACGGAACAGCTTTAAACAGAACTTACTTTCAGATTTAATACATGTACCTAGAAAACCAGCTTGTTGCAAGAACCTCCATAACCCCATCCGAGCCATGACAGATAACCACTGTACAGTACCTTCCTCGAGGGAACCCAATTACAGGCAATAACAAGAGCTTCTTGTCACCACGCAGCCTATTAGGCAAATTAATGCACAGACTAGCAAGCAATGA